GAAGGTGGAAAACTTTTAGGGATAAAGGCAAATTAATGAATGGGTTTAAGTAAGTCACACGATCAAGAAAGATCATTTTGACTTTAGAATAGAGGATGGATTCTGGTGGAGTCTGATGGCAGGGAGGAGACTGTCTGGGAATCTACTGCGTTCGTCCTGACTTGAGACAATTAGGATAGGAGGTAAGAAAGTGGTGGGGACTGATAGGAAGGAGGGATATTAAAGGGAAAATTAACAAGTTTTGAGTGTTTGCTGTGTGCCTGCTACTAAGGCAAGTGATTTTACATATACTCTCTCACATACTCCTCCCAGCAACACATTTTACTGAGGATTAAATTGAGATTGAATCATGAATTATCAGGTAATTAACAACCTTAGTAATGACAGGTTCAGTTGAATAATGGGGACAGAAATAGTCACCTGAAGAGAATAGATGAGGGAATGCTGAGGCAGAGAATATAGACTTCTACCAGAATGAGGCTTGGCTGCATGATATGGAAGGAGGGAAATAAAGAGAGGGTGCACATTTGAGGGGAAACATTTTTTTAATAGCTTTTTCTTTTTCTTTTCTTCTTTATCTCCCCAAATCCCCCCATACGTATTTGTATATCTTAGTTGCAGGTGGTTCTGGTTGTGGCATGTGGGATGCCGCCTCAACGTGGCCTGACGAGCGGTGCCATGTCTGCGCCCAGGATCTGAATCGGCAAAATCCTGGGCCACCACAGTGGAGCATGCTAACTTAATCACTCGGCCACGGGGCCGGCCCCAGAGGGGAAATATTTTAATAATATATCAGGGACTAGGACATGTTTATAGTCTGAAACAGGGGAGTCAATGAAGAAGGAAAAAAGGAAATTCTAGAGAAAGGGAGAGATAAAAGGTAGGACCAGCTTTTGGAAGTGATAAGAGGAAGTGAGGCTCAGAAAGTAGCTTTGATCAAGAGAAGCAAAACTTTCCTATTCCTTCATTCTCTAACAAAAAGTCATTTAGAGTCTACACTATTCTAGTTATGGGTAGAAAGCAATGTACAAAACCAGACGAAGTCCCTGTCCACAAGGAACGTTCTAGTAAGGACAGGAAAAAAACTACAGAAATAAACTATGTAGTATGCCAAGATTTGATTCATAATATGGTGAACAAGAAGAGGAAGAAAAAGGCTATTGTATGTGTGTGAGGATGGAGGCGGAGAGGGGAGGGGAGTGTGTACTATTTTCCATAAGGTGACCAAGGAAGGCTATGTACGTGGTGACTCTGTTAAGATGAATCCTTATCAGCCCTCTGAAGAAAATGAGGGTGAATGCCTATGTGCGATATGTTAGGGAAGAATATTCCAGGCACAGAAAACAAGTGCAAAAGCTCTCAAGTAGAAAGTGCATGGCATTTGAGGAGCAGCAAGGTCAGTGATCAGAGAGGTAAAGGGAATCCAGATCCTACGGGGCTTTGTGGGCCACTGCAAGTACCTTGGCTTTTGTTTTAAAGAAGATAAGAAGCTATTGCAGAGTTTTGAGCATAGCGGTGACATACATGGCTTGAGTTTATAAAAGATCACTGAGTTGTACCACATATATGTAATATTTTTCCAATAATTACATGTCAATTTTTAAAGTTAATTTTGAATTCTTTAGAGTTAAGTAGAATTAAAAAATTTAGTTTTGTACCAGCACCGGTCACACTTTGAGTGCTCAATAGCCACACGTGGCTAGTGGGAACTATATTGGATGGCACAGCTCTAGCCTATGAACTTGAATTCACAAACCAATCCTACTCCAGCACCTCAGAGATTAAAATAAATTTGTTAAATGGACAAAAAAATAGTTATTTTCAAATAATTACTAGGAAATCTTTAATTATCTACTCACAAATAGTTTACTCACATAAATGAAAGAGACAACACTTAGAATGTCAGTTATAAAAAGGTCAAAATAGATTTTAATAGAGCAATGGAGATAAAAACAGAGAGAGTGGGAAGAGTATATCCTGTTGTTTTTCATTTTGGGTGGACTAATTAGCCTGTTGATAGCAAAAAGGTCAGTCTGGGCAATATGCCTATCAAGCAAGCTGTCTGGGGGTATCACAGAAAATATAGTTGTTATAGGCTCCCCAAGAGGCTCTGCAAGCTTATGGTGCAATTGTAGGATGGGTTCTCGCTGTAATATGTGCCTGTATCCTTCCATTAGCACCTCCAGCTCAGTTAGGCCAGGTGTGCAGCAATTCCCTCAATGGAGTTTCTCATTCTCACTGATTATATGCCTTAGGTTCATTCAATGAATCATTCATATGCTAAGTGGCTACTAAATGCCAGGCAGTCTTCCAGGCTCCTCTTTGGAGACAAAGATAAGGGTGCTCTGTCCCTGATCTGAAAAAGGATCAAATAATTAGGCAGTAACACCAGGAAAACCATCTTGTCATAAGAGGGCTATCGATCAACTGTTATGGAAGATAAATATTTCAGAAAGTTCCTTTTACATATATCTGAGAGAAATGTATGCCCATCTACACCAGAAAACACGCGCAAGAAAGTTCACAGCAATATTGATCTCAATAACCCCAAAGAGACACAATACAAATGTCTATAGAAATAAATTAGGTAAACCAATGTCATTATTTAGCAGTAAAAATGATCGTATTGTAGTAACATCTATCAATATGAATAAATCTCAAAAACATAAGCTTGAATGAAAAAAATCATAAAATAATATACAGAGTAAGATTTCATGTATGGGAAGATAAAAATAGGTAAAATTAAACAATGTTCAATTTACAGATCCATACTTAAATATTGAAACTATAAAGAAAAGTGAACGATTAACACAAATGTAAGATCGTGGTTTAGCTGAGAGTGTGTGGGTGGGTGGAGAGATTGAACTGGGGAGAGTTATACCGGGACTACTAAATTACTAATGATATACTAGTTCTTAAACTGAGTTTTGAGTACTAGGTATTTGTTTTACTATTCTTGTTTATGTTGTGTAAACCCTTTTGTATGGATGATGTATTTTACCTTAAAAATTTTAAACATCTCTTTAATCAAAAATAAGGAATCTCAGGTCCACTGGGTAGTTTTGCCGTTTTTAAAATTTCCTTTATCTTTTTCTTGTTTACCTGCCATCCCACCATTTTTGTTCAAATAGATGTAAAAGTTCAGACGTTTTAAAGTCTTTATCAGGAATTTTAAAATTATGAATAGCAATGCTAATTCATTAAAATCAGTTATGGGTCTCAATACTCCTATTTTACCAGTTGAACATATGATACGACTAGTTCTCATTAACCTGGCTTCTTCTTCCCGTGTCTTGTAGTTGAAGGTTGCATCACTGGATCCCTCTTTGTGGTTTCCTTTCTGTATGTATAGTTTGAGTATCTCCAAGATACTAGCTCATCCTCTTCAGGTAAATTTCTTTCTCTTTTTGCCCCACTCTTCCCCTCCACCTCTCCTTCTATTGTGTCTATTTTTTTTCCTTTCCTTCTGCCACTTTTTCCTTAATCCAGTTTGAATTTGCTTTCTCATTTTTCTCTCTCCATGGACTAGGTATATTCTAGAACCAAAGCTTTTTCATTTTCAACAATCTCTTTTAGTCACTAAAGAAAAGCTCTGTTTCCCACGTTTTTAAAATTAGAAGAAACAACAAACTTTTCTCCTTTTTTCTACAACAGCAGTCCACCAGGGCAGTCTTCTGATGAAGGGTCCATACTCAAGCCACACTCTACCTAAATCATCATCCCATCTCCACACTTTACATGTCATGGGATTGGGGGAAAGACCGCTTGCCTCTGGTCCTCTCGTTTCCTTTTCTGTAAAATGGAAAAAAAAAAAAAAAGGTAATACTCAGATAGGGTTTTTATGATTAAATAAATGAATACATATATAGCAAGTTAGCTGTTATTCCGTGCATGGCTACATTGGCTAAATTGGGAATAAGGAAGAAATAAAGAAGTCAAAGTCAAAAAATTCTTCAGATTTCCTTTTCAATACCGAAGAGAGAAAGACAAATTAACTATTTCGTGTAACAAAGATAGGACATCATAAACTCTGGAGTGCGCTCTTGTTTGCGAGTCTTCCTGCAGTAGTTGCCCGGGATTTACTGTGCGCATGCGCGGGAGAATGGGGACGGGGGACAGAAGGGTGGGAGTGGGGGATGGGAAAGAGGCGGGGAAGAGTTAGGAAAAAAAGGCAAATTCAGGGAGGATACTTCTGTCTTTAGAAAGGAAAAATGAGAATGGAAGAACTAGCTAAGAAGCTGGTTTCAGCCAAAGATGGTGATAATAACAATAATAAATTAAAAATAAAGCTGTTGAACACATGGTTCTTCGATTTTATTATTATTATTTTTTAATCTTTTCACTAGTTAGACTGAAGAACTATTTCTGATCCTCCTCTGTGGCTAAACTGGGTATGATTCGATCCTTTCCAGTGCAAAGGATTGTAGCTATATCGTCTAAGAAATTCTTTCCTTTCTTATCTCCCTTCAAGACATCTTATTTTGCTTTCTGAGGTTTTATTCCTTGCCTTTAATTTTCAGGCTGCATTTCTGCATTCTGTTTACAGTGGGAAATACTGTTCTCGAAATTGTCTGGATAACCGCAGATCGCCTATTTCTTCTCTGTTCTTCGTTTCCCTCTCATTGGTTTAGAATTCAGGTTCAAATGGAAAGGGGCAGCTTTTCCAGGACTGGTAAACGGGCCAACCAAAGCGGAGACGTAACAGTGCCACGAGTTTTGCCTCATGGCATTTCAAAATACAGAAGACAACAACTTGTAGTTTTTTAAATTAATCAACAAACTAACCTGAATTGTTACACATTAGTCCTAATTTACTATAAAATAGGTTACTAGATTAAAATAGCTGGTCTCCTGGAAAACTGCTCTCAGGATATGACCAATGGGAGAGCAGGTCATGGCCTCATGAAAAATGAGCAAATCAGCGGTTGCAAAACCAAGTCCTCATTTGCATAAGCTTGTCTACAAATAGGCCCGATTCAGCGACACCGACTCCATTTTCTTTTTTTTCGGAGAAAACGAAACTTAGTATGCCTGAGCCAGCGAAGTCCGCTCCGGCCCCGAAAAAGGGCTCCAAGAAGGCGGTGACCAAGGCGCAGAAGAAGGACGGCAAGAAGCGCAAGCGCAGCCGCAAGGAGAGCTACTCGGTCTACGTGTACAAGGTGCTGAAGCAGGTCCACCCCGACACCGGCATCTCGTCCAAGGCCATGGGCATCATGAACTCGTTCGTCAACGACATCTTCGAGCGCATCGCGGGCGAGGCGTCGCGCCTGGCGCATTACAACAAGCGCTCGACCATCACCTCCAGGGAGATCCAGACGGCCGTGCGCCTGCTGCTGCCCGGGGAGCTGGCCAAGCACGCCGTGTCGGAGGGCACCAAGGCCGTCACCAAGTACACCAGCTCCAAGTAAACTTGCCAAGTAGGCGTCTTTGCATCTAACCCCAAAGGCTCTTTTAAGAGCCACTCAAGTTTTCACAATGAGAGCTGCACACTAGCTTATACTGTCTTCTATTAGCGTTACTAGTAACGCTTGAGAAAGCCACTGCACATGCTTGTTAAAGTCGTTATGTCCAAGGGTTCCCAGCAGCATATGCTAACGTGGACTGAAAACAGCTAGTGCTGACCTCCCAAGCCCGTGGAGCTCCTGGTCACCTTTTTAAAATTTGCTCAGCTCAAGTACTGGGTTGGCTGGTGGCGGCGCTTCATGAAGCCTCCAAAACGGCTGTGAAATCTGTGGTGTCCGTTTTATATAAAGCGTCACTCTCTAGCGTCTGAGTGGCTACGGTAACATTTGAAAATTCCACTCTCTTAAAGTGGAACTTCATCTTTGTGTGACGCCCCCGGTTCTTTTGTTAGTGTCTAATTCTCTCCTATCAACTCTCCCTTTTTCCAGCCCTTTGCCTAGGGCCTTTAGAGACCTGGTTAAGCATTTTATGTGAGGCTTTGTTTTGTTTTACAAATGTATTATGTTGGGTGGCTGAGGATCTCCAGAAAGGGAACAGTAATTACCAATTTTTAATTTTGCTTTATCTCTTTATTTCCTAGACTTTAAAAAAGCGCTCATCATTACTTTTTTTTTTTTTCCCATGGAGAATACAGTCCTCTCCCTGCTCTCCTCCTGACTGGGTTTCACAAACAAGACCTGCAAAAACAATTCTGAATACTCACCCGCCTCAGTCTCACTAGTGTGGCCACGTAATATAAAAATTGGCTCGGCAACCTCCAAACCGTCCTTTTCTGTCGCTTGCGAGTTCCCTTTGCAGTCCATGTTCCTATCCTGTCTCCAGCTCTCCTCACCCTGCTCAGTTCAGTAACTGAGGATCCATCCTAGTGAAGAAGAGAGGTGCCCAGGGCAGATCAGAACTTAGAGACGAAGAAGAAATCTGGAAGTAGGAGATGCTTTTTAAAGTTCGGATGCCGGACACTGAGGTCTGGAGGTTTACGGTGTGTAACCACATCATGCCAAAGAGACTAAACCCTCAAACATAAACAGCAAAACTTCTCTTCTTCCCTCATTTCCCTGGAAACTATAAGGTAGAGAATCCTTCCGAAAGTTAGATGAGAAAGGTTTGGGTTGGTGGCTCCTCACCCATAAAGGGAACTACCAGATCCACCCACGAATTGCTGTCATTGTCCTTGAGAAATACTCCTAGCTGGCCTTCCGGGCCAGTCTATCTGGTCTCCCCTCTATTTGCTCAAAAAGGTAAAATAAGTACAAGGATACAAAAATGATTTGTTTTCAGGTTACCAAATTATAATTGCACTTCCACTTTTTCTGGTCACCTTGATTTTAGTTTGAGATAATACTGAAACTCCTCCATCCATAAGGACTCTAGTTTCCATTCCAGCGTCACCGTGGTTTTTAAAAAAGCACACCTGATTATGTGTTGTCCGTGCTCGGAGCCTTTCAGTGATCCTTCACTGCTCAAAATCAAAAATCTGTGCTATGGCCTCAAGCCCTAACTCTCGAACCCAACCTCAGAGGATTCTTTGTCTCTTTTTTGTTTTCTCTTTCTCCATTTTTTGGTTTAGGGTGTGTATGTTTGTGTTTTCACAGTTTGGGGACAAACTGTGAACCACTTCAGCTAACATGCCTTTATATTTTTTCCCTGCCTGAAATGCCCCTGATTCCACATCCATCTCCAACACACACACAGAGTTTATTAATCAACAACTCACATTGCAGCTTAATCACCACGTTATTGGGGAAGCTGGTCTCCACTATGAAAGGCTCTCACAGTCCCAGAGAACTGGAACACTGGCTGTATATCCAGCCCCAAACTAATCATTAGTAAGGGACATGAGACCCTTAGGACTGGTGTGGTTGAATCAGGACCCGATCCCTGAGACCAGAGAGGAACTCTGCCTTCCCTGGAGCACAAGGAAGGAGGGAAGATGAAACCTGAACAAAACTGAAGCTGTATTAGAAAGGAATGAGCATAAATGGCCTTTGGTAAGGCACCTGTACTTCCTGATACAAGGGCCTTCTAGGCAGACAGAAGGAGCATCCACTAGGTTCATTCATATTCAAGTGCCAAGCACCAACTTATATATTGAAGAAATAGAGTTCTCAAACTTGAGTGTGCATCAGAATCACCTGGAGGGCTTGTTAGAGGACAAATTGCTGGTCCCACTCCCAGGGTTTCTGTTTCATTAGTTCTGGGGGCATCTGAGAACTTGGCTTTCCAAAACGTTCCCAGCAGATACAGATGCTGCTTATCTGGTACTATGCTGATAGATGGTGAAGAACAAACTAACCAAAGCCCCTGCCCACGTGGAACTTTCTTTGTGGTAATGATGAGTTGATGGTATAAGATGGTAAAGGGTCTGGATGTCAAACAATGAAGGTTAGATTTTGTAGACAACAAAAAGTTGTAGAGGCCTTTTGAGCAGGGCCTGACACAATTGGCTCTAGTGTTAAGGCGTCTCTGGTGGCAGGAGACTAGATGAATTGGAGGGAAATGTAGTGATGGATGCGAACAAAGGCCCCAGTCAAAGAAATGGCAGCAAGAATGAAGCAGCGGATACGAGAGATCAGAGAGCAGTTGAAGCGGTTCCATTCAGTATTTTGTCAAATATCGATTGGATTTCCTCTGTGCAAGGTGTTAAGATATAGCAGTGAGCCAGACAGACAAGAGGCTGCTCTTCTGGAGCTGATATTCTGGTGGGAGGAAAGAGAAAGTATACACGATAACTCAGCGAGATAACTTCGAATAGAGAGGAGTTCTGAGTGCTATGAAATTGTTTGAAATAAAACCCCGTGCCATGATAGCGACTAAGTTACACTTTAGATAAGAGAACCAACAACCTAGGGAATAAAAGTTCCAGGCCTGGGGAACTGTTGGTAGAAAAAACACTGGGGCAGGGAGGAGTTTGTGCTAAGAAATAGAAGACCTGTGTGCTAGGAGATTAGCAAGCAAAGGTAAAGTACTATGAGGATGAAGCTGGGGATTAAAGAGGTCACTGAATATGTTGAGCCCTATAGGCCAAAAGAAGGAACCCAGATTCTTATCGAGTTATGGGAAACTATCAGAATTTTTAAGCATTTCGGTTGCTATATGAGGAAGGGATTTTATTGAATTAAAAGAGGAAAGAACTGAAAGGTGATTGCAATAATGCTAGTGAAATTATTAGATTTAGAAGAAAGTCCAAAGAATTTATTGATGAATTGGATTTTGGGGGTGAAGAAACAAGTAGCTAACATTTCTTGAGCCCTTTATATGTTTAGGAAACTGTGCCAAGCTCTCTAACCTTTGCAAATGTTAACTCCCTTCATCCTTTCAACATCTACATTGTCTAGATACAAGTATCCTCTCCTTTTAACTGACTGGGAAGTCAGCAGTATGAGGCTGGGGTGAGACCCAGGCATTGTGCCTCCAGAGGTTATATGCTTATCCACTACCCCACAGTTCTGCTAAAGTTCTTGGGTGTATGATCAAGAATTCTAGGAGAGGGGAATGGCCCCGTGGCCAAGCGGTTTAGTTCACGTGCTCCTCTTCGGAGGCCCAAAGTTTCGCCAGTTCGGATCCCGGCCATAGACATGGCACTGCTCGTCAAGCCATACTAAGGCAGTGTCCCACACAGCACAACCAGAGGGACGTACAACTAGAATATAGAAATATGTACTGGGGGACTTTGGGGAGAAGAAGAAGAAGAAAAAAGATTGGCAATAGATGTTAGCTTAAGTGTCAATCTTTAAAAAAAAAAAAAAGAATTCTAGGAGAGGATGAGGTTTCTGAGACTGGGACATGACAGTTTGTAAATTGTCTTGAGCATTCCATTGAAGATGTCAAGTGCATAGTTCCATATGTGAATATGGAATTTAGAGGCAACATGGGGGCGGGACATATAAGTTTTGAAAATTTTGGAAATAGATATTTTAATATTTTCAGCATGGCATGAAATTGGAGATTAGCCATGGAGAAAAGGTAAAGTGAGTTTATCATAGAAGCACTCCAAACTTTAGAAAGGAGACAGCAAAAGAGTCTAAATAGTGACAAGTGATCTTGGGAAAATAACAGGAGAGTGAAGTCACAGAAATCAAGAAAATAAAATGTTTCAAGGAGGAAGATTTGACCAAGCCGGTGTGACGTCTAGTAGGATGAGAGTAGACGTGAGCTTTGGATATAGTAAACGGAACTCACTGGGAATTTGGGCTACAGGTACTCATGGGCAAACTGGACATCATCTAGGACACCTTCAGGACTCACGATTATTTCCTCTTCCCTGGTAAAAACTTCACTTAGGGCTGTACCCCATGTCCCCATTATGTTGTTACCCTCTCTCTGGCGCCATCATATCTGTTTGATGCAGGCACCTGCCCAGCTGGATCAATCAGATTCACTTTCCTAGAAACTCGGAAAAGGGACTGAAGAGAAAGACAGGCCTGAGCGGTCAGCAATTCCTTAAGTGTTGTCAGTAAACTTGTCTTTCAAGAGAGTATTTTATTTGGCTTAAATTCTGTGGAATTGGTGTTTTATGTTTGCATCCCAAAGAACTTTCATTAACACACTTGCAACTTCTTAAGAATATATGTAAACTTGTATGTGTTGAACACTTGCTAGGGTCATATTATTTATCCTATATTGTCTCACTCAGTCCTCACAAAATATGAAGTTTCTTCTACATTGCAGATAATGGAACAGTGGTTAGTAATTTGCCACCGACTACAAAGATAGAAAATGGCAGTTCGGAACTTCAAGCGTTATGTCTTCATGGTTCAAATGCCACATTCTTTTCCTCTGAGCCTCTCTAATATCATGAGAAATAATAATCGCAATAACAGTAACAACAATAGCCAAAACATAGAGCATTTACCATGTGCCATGCACTTGTCAAAATGCTTAACACATATTTAATTTTATTCACCCCCAAATCTGTAAGATAGGTACTACAGTTATCTTCATTTTACACACGAGGAAACGGAGGCACAGAGATAAGTGATTTAACCAAAGACACAAAGACAAAGAGTAAACATCCCTCTGTACAAGGTTTCTGTTTCCTTTTTATCTCGAAGAGGGGGATTGGAAAAGTTTCTTACAAACTTAATATACGATTTGCTCAACGATGTAGACAATTAAATATTTAGGCCTTGCTACATATTTACTATCAATGGAAGGCAAGTTCAAAGTGAGATTCAGTAAATTTGAGCCTTTGAGAATCAAAATTTTTTCAGAATGAGCTATCTATCTTGCATTCTGAGTTATAAAATAAATGTTAGAACTTGATCTAATTTCTCAAGAAGATACAGGTCCACTGCACACAGGGAATAAATGGCAACAAATTTACTCTTGTTCAATGTTTTCTTTATGCATTATGTCTGCTCTTTTCTCTCTGTCCTTAAATTTTGCACCTCTACACCTCAGACTCTGAAATCCTAGACTCCAGGTTGGTGACAGGCATCCATGGAGCCCTGGGAATTCCCTGAATGAGCCTCAGAGGGTAAATGAGCCCCAGGAAATGTCTATGTCCATATGTGTATTTTTAAACAGATTCTCAAAGGAGTTTTTGATCCACATATTGTTAAGAACTACTCTCCTAAGGGGAGAGAATACTTTGAAATGTCCAGATTACAACTGCCTAAGACACATGGACAGTCCACCCATTCGTCTCTAACCTGTAAAGAGCTCCTCCGTTGTGTTCTGCCCATCATGGAACATGGTGAAAGAGATGCCAAGGAAAGAGGCTCATTTGGCATTAGTTTCCTTAAAATAGCTTTCAAGCCAATAGAAGAATAGTCCACACTGCTAAATAAGTTGAGAAAACAAAACTGTACTTGGTCTGTTAAAGTCAAGTCGCTATAACAAAGAGACTCAACAGTAGATTAGATTAAAGATAGTTATTCTCACATGGAACAGACCCATTGTGATTAGTCCAGCTCTGTGGGGCAGCCCTGCTCCTCCTGACTAGTCAGGGACTCTTGTTCCTTACAAATCATTGTTCTGCCATCCCTAGGGCAGGATGTTCTCTGCTTGGTCAGACAAGACCAATACCATCATAACTGGTGGCAAGAGGAAAGAAGGTTTTAAAGCCCAGACGAGGGAGTCGACTCCTATTCATGCTTGTTGGAGAGCACATACTCACCTTCGCTACTAGAAAAGTCAAGAAATGTTGCCTCCGGCCAGGGAGCCACCTGTCCAGCTACGCTTTTATTATGATAAAGCGGACAAATTTCATTGGAAAAATGCCAGTCTACATCACAATAATCCCCCAAGTCTTCACAAAATAAAACCCATTGTGAGGACACCAAAGACAACAGTGGCATGCTGATAGTCCCCGTGAGACACTAAAGTTTAAAGGAAGTAAAAACAAGAAATGGGTAACCCCTCTGAGAACTTGCTTATTTTCACTTCCTTGATATGTAAAGAGAAAGAGGGCAGAATTTGAATCATGAGGTTTGAAAAGCCCAGTGGAGCACTTTTTGTCAGCACCTGTGGCTCGCAACCAGCAGTACCTTTATCTTAACTAGAGGTGAATCGGAGTGTAATCAACTCGAAGATTATTTATAATAAAGGGTTAACATAACTTGGTAGGTAAACATGAATCTGTATATTTTTATCCGCCACAGGTATGTTAATAAAGGCTGTTTTTTGGATCCAGTAAGAAATCAGTAACTCTGGATAGGAGGGCAAATCAGGGAAGCAAAGCACCAAACAAGGTGCCCTCTCTCCACTGTGCTTTCAAAGCCCAGGAGAGAACCCTACCTAGTTAGTCTTAACGTGTTTCTGTTGTTTCTCAAGTAGGACTTACTGCCTCCAACATACTTTCAAGTTCGTCAGCCATCCCTTCCCTCACCCACTAACGTAATGTGTAAGGCATGTGGTTTTGTCTTCAGCTCAGTGTCTAGATATGGACCGGGCAGGTCTTTTTTCCCTTTTAGCAGCAGCCCCAGACCTTCCCTCTTGCTTTCTTTGATGCTTTCCAGACCTGTCACAAGCTTGCCTCATACTATTGTGTAGAACTAAACACGCTGTTAATCACTCTAAAAGTTAGCCTCCTAGCTATAATGCGCCAAATGCATAGCAAATACACACTAACTTGCTACTATGGATTAAAACTAGACGCTGTTAATAACTGGAAATGTACAAAAGAACATTAAAACGGCGTAACTTACACATCCTAAAGGACACTGGCTGTAACGTCTTACGATGTTAGGATGAAGAGCGCTGTTGGTAAAGTGACAAACTCTTTTGGAGTGAACGGATGGGTGGCCCTGAAAAGGGCCTTTGGGTTTCCTGCAGACGATTGCGATGAAAAAATTAACCGCCGAAGCCGTAAAGAGTGCGCCCCTGGCGTTTGAGCGCGTAGACCACATCCATGGCGGTGACCGTCTTGCGCTTGGCGTGCTCGGTGTAGGTGACCGCGTCCCGGATCACGTTCTCCAGGAAGACCTTGAGCACCCCGCGAGTCTCCTCGTAGATGAGACCAGAGATGCGCTTGACACCCCCACGCCGGGCCAGACGCCGGATGGCGGGCTTGGTGATGCCCTGGATGTTGTCGCGCAGCACCTTGCGATGGCGCTTGGCGCCTCCTTTTCCCAGCCCCTTTCCGCCTTTACCGCGCCCAGACATAGCGATAACACAGCTGCTAAGCCTGTAACAGAATACTCTCGATAGAGTCACTTAGTCCTTTTATAGTCACAAGACGGACCTGTTTGAAAACCTCAAGAGCAGGGGCGGTAACCACTCAGTTCCCGCCCTTCGGCTTATTTGTCCCTTGCTAACAGCTATGGAGACCAGGCGGCGCGCCTGAAGCGACAATGGATCCTGGAGGTGAGATTTACTAAATGCTCCTATATATGGATACGTGCGTCTGTGTCTGCACACAATCCTTTCAGCCATTAAGTGGCGCAACAATTCATACACTTTCCACAAAGAAGCCTGACACTGTCCTTCAGGTTTCCCAGAATATGGAATAGTTAATACATGCTGTCTTCCCTTATAAGACACTGTAAATGCAATTTTAAGCAACTTATATATTTATTGCTTAAGTTTATATTTATAGGTGTCTAGTTGACTAACAGGGCTCGTTGGTATGCATGTTGGATAACCCTACTGCGGGAACTGAAAGTATAAGAAGGTTACACGTTTAGAGATCAAATCAGCGTAGAAATCACTGAGTGGCCCTTAAGCTTTATTAGGTATACAAGGAAGTTCATGACACAAAAATGATTAAGAATCCCTCATCTATGGGATCCTGAAAGCCTTGAAAGACTCTTGGGTTTCAAAAATGTGCAGAGAGGAGCATTCCAAAATTTCATGAATGTTGGAATGAAAATCATATATGGGTAAGAATAATTTGATGGAGGTGAGTAAGGGTAAATGGCAATGGTTTTCTCCACATATAAACAGGAAAGAGGTCATGTCCTCTCCTTTTCTTAGAGAGTTTTCTTGGAGAATTGGTGAGTTTGTGTTTTCACTTTTCCATTAGGAAGAAAGACATTTTTCTAGGGATTCAAGCCCAGTCTCCAGTTTTTTACAATGTAGATATCTCCCAGACTGGGGGCCACATAATCTCTAGATAAGTAAAAATGTACTTCTGGAATAGGTTAGTAGTCTCTCACAAGATATACAGGAGATTGTGCCAAGGAATAGCCCCTGTCTCTCGAGGGGATAAAGAGAAGTTGTTTTTTCCTCTGCTGTATAAGACGTGTGAGATTTTTCCTAACGGTAGTCATTTTTGTACTAACGTACATCCTGTAAATGTGTTAATGCTTAGTCAGTAATAAATTATGTCCTTCCTTCTGCATTGAGACAGAAAGGTCATTTTGTTGACAAAACTGTTCTACTTCAACCTGTGAAGGGGGCAGAAAGCCCCATAGATTTCACGTTCCTTTATCCTATCTAATGGGAATATGGTTGCTGAAATGTTTATTCTCTGCTTATATTGATGTGAAGATTAAAACTCTCTAAGGAGAGGCATGATTGGGCCATTCAGAGCTCAATGGTCAAATTGAAACAGGCTACTGATTTCATAATTACTGTACACCTTCAGTGGAGTATAAGGCCCCAACTGGTCAGGCATGGCTTTCATTCCATTTAAAATGAGTAACAAGAGTCAAGTATGTCAGCAGTACTGTGCAGAGCATGGTGGCACAGAAAACAAGCATTTGGGCAGTAGTCGTGATGGCAGAATAAAGCAATGGAATGGGATTCAGAACACTCTTGAGGTCTGGTCCCATATGGACTCCCTATAGGTATTTGTGCAAGTTCTTTTATATATGTATAAATATAGATATTTATGTATACATGTAATATATTTACATATTTACATAAATGACTGTATGCCATATCTATAAGACCAACCATACTCTGGGTTGTTTACAGGCTACTAGGAAGATTTAAAAGTGGACAAGTATGCAGATAATATGAAGCAGATTATAATGGCCAGTAATGTATCAGTTCAAAAGAGGGAGAGATCTCATCCAGTTTAAGAGATTGGGAAGGGCATATATAAGCATTTCAAAGTATGTCATTGGATTAGTTTGATGTATGTCCTGACTTTAAAATAGGGTGAGGAGAGGGTAAAGGGAAGAAAACAACAGAAAGAAAAAGAAAGATACTATGAAAGCTTAGATGATTTGACCAAGATCATATAGCTTGTAAGCTGCAAAAACAGACTCAAATACAAGTCAGTGTGTTTGCAAATTCTATGCTTGTTCAGCTAAGCCACACTACCAGAATGGTCATTTAACACCATATAAAACATTTTGAATGCCATGAGAAAGTGCTTATATTTAAATTAGAAAGCTACAGGAAGATAGGCCATATAAATTTGAAGCTCACTTGAAGAATATTTCATTGAGAGCAATGAAGAGGATGGATTATAGAAAGTGAGAACAAGGAGAGGCCCATAAGAAAAGTGTGAGAATAACCAGTCCAGACAAGAAAGAGAGGAGCCAGAATTACAACCATTATGGGGGAAATAACAAAAAAGGTGAATTTAGAAAAAACTCACCAAACTTGGTGACAGACTGGATTTGTTGACAAAAGAAATGGAAGAATTGAAACTTTTGTACCCGTTAATAAAAGAATGGTGGTGGTGTTAGTAGAATTTATAAGAATGTCAACTGGAAGATTGTCTTTTGATTGGAAACTACATACTTAGATAAGGTTGGTCCTGTTGAGAGTCTTGTTTAGGTAGATAAGGAAGCAGATACTCAGCAAGCACCCAGAAATACAAGTTTGGCATTTAGATAAAAGGACAGACCCGAAGGGAGAGACTTCAGAATTATTTACATAAAGGTAACTCAAGAACCCATGAAGATGAATGGGGCAGTACCTTGAAGATTTCCCACATTCAGGTGGCTAAGGGACAGCTCTTCCTTTGTTGGTGCTGCAGAAAACCAACTATGATGAGTCAAAGTCATCTTAAGAAGGTTAGGAATACACGAGCTCCATAACAAGTGAATACTGGAATACTTTGAATTGTAATTTTAATTTTTATTAACATTTATTATTTTTTTCTGTTTAAGTTGGATGTGCTCCATGAAGTAATCAGTCATTCCTTGATTTTGATGGGCTCAAGGAGGAGTATGAAACCTTCAGCCTCTTGGGTTTTTCCTCTGTCTGTTCCCAGCATTTCTTTCTTTCATAGTCCTAGTGAAACACAGACTAGTACATGCTTCAAAATAAACATAATATGTTAAAGATAAACATATAGTTTGAAGAGTGAAGAAGAAAATCAAATCAATTTCTGCCATCAATTTCCTACTGAACATTAGGCATAAGCTATAATGTGTTTCCCATAAACCTATGTCTTTGCTTAAATAAGAAATGTACCAGGGAATACAAATCATGCTTGCATTTAAATTTCTGTTTCTTAAGTGAATTCTATATGCGTATGTGTGTTGTGCTTGTATATTCCTTAATTTTGTTAGTTGAATACTTTGCCAAAGTTTGCTCTCTCCAAGTGTAACAATGTACCCAAAAGCTTGTGCACATTCTAATAACTAATCCTCTCTAATTAAATCAAGGTAAATAAGAGATTTTTTAAAAACTCATAAGGGGGTCCAACTCTCTTTTGTGCTTTTCTCTGGATCTCCTCTGCCATCAGCTATTGCAACACAGGCCCAACTACCATGTCAAGAGGATCATTGATTATTGCACTTCCCATTTTCCTAGACAAATGTTGAATGCTGAAGCCCCTAAATTACCCTCCAAATAGTCACAAGAAGCTATAATAAAGCTTTTTCAAACAAAATAGTGACTTTTCTTATCAGAAATTGCTGCTATGCCAAGCATCATTTACTATCTTTCTTGCAGAGAAATCCAGAAAGAGCTTGTGTTATTTTTCCTCGTATGAAACAGATTTTCTGAGAAAATCTCAAGGGGAATGAAGCAGTTTTTGAACATATGAGAAGCCAAGAATGTAGAGAATATTATTAGAGAGTAAGATATTGAAGACACGAAGAGAAGAATTTATATTTTAAACAAAAATTAAGAAGTTGTCCTTCTGACCTGTGAATCTGTCAGAGTGTCAGGGGCTTTTGAAAAAGGCTGAGACAGATGTGATAAAAACTGGAGTAACAAATTATAAAGATCTCAAAGCTTGAGCTGTCCTGGTTCATTGTAGAATATAACTGGTGTTATTTCTCTACAGGAAATTTTAATTTTTTTGCTCTCCTGAATCGTAACAAACACAATTCCAGGACAGAGCTGAGACTAGGTCGCTGTCAAGCTGGAAGACTGAGCTGGGAACCAATCAGTGCTCAGCGTCGCTGTGTGTCTATATATACACACACACACAGTCCTAGACCTGGCATCTCAACTCGGAGACTTTATTATATTTTTACTGTCAGGTATCCAGATCTCAACCATGTCGGAAACCGCACCCGCCGCGCTTCCTGCTCCTGCTCCCGCGGAAAAGACGCCTGTGAAGAAGGCCCGCAAGTCCGCAAGTGCCACCAAGCGCAAGGCTTCCGGGCCCCCTGTGTCCGAGCTTATCATCAAGGCTGTCGCCGCCTCCAAGGAGCGCAATGGCTTGTCTCTGGCCGCCCTCAAGAAGGCGCTGGCGGCTGCTGGCTACGACGTGGAGAAGAACAACAGCCGCATCAAGCTGGGTCTTAAGAGCCTGGTGAGCAAGGGCACCCTGGTGCAGACCAAGGGCACCGGCGCCTCAGGCTCTTTCAAGCTCAACAAGAAGGCGGCGACCGGGGAAGCCAAACCGAAAGCTAAGAAGGCGGGTGCGGCCAAGCCCAAGAAGGCTTCTGGGGTGGCCAAAAGGCCCAAAAAGACGCCGGGTACGATCACTCCGAAAAAAAGCGCCAGGAAGACCCCGAGGAAGGTGAAGAAACCAGCGGCGTCTAAGAAAGTGATCAAGAGCGCGAAAAAGGTGAACACAGCTAAGCCGAAGAAGGCAGCTAAGAGTCCAGCCAAGGCCAAAGCCCCTAAGCCCAAGGCAGCCAAGCCTAAAGGAGGCAAGCCCAAGAAGGCGGCCCCCAAAAAGAAGTGAGTTCAAGACTAGTTCCCCCTACCTTAAAGGCTCTTTTCAGAGCCACTCAACTACTCATTAAAGAGCTGGTTATACCGCTTTGGATGGTCGGGGTAAATGAGGGGGAGGGGGAGGGGAGGGGAGGGGGAGGGGGGGAAAGTTTCCACCATAAGTACACAGCAATCTTTCATAGAAAATGTAGTGGCTCTGAAAAGAGCCTTTGGGTTTAAGGTTTAAATAAAAGTTTACGCCCTCTCCCCGCGGATGCGGCGCGCGAGCTGGATGTCCTTGGGCATGATGGTGACGCGCTTGGCGTGGATGGCGCAGAGATTGGTGTCCTCAAAGAGCCCCACCAGGTAGGCCTCGCACGCCTCCTGCAGCGCCATCACGGCCGAGCTCTGGAAGCGCAGGTCGGTCTTGAAGTCCTGCGCGATCTCGCGCACCAGGCGCTGGAAGGGCAGCTTGCGGATCAGCAGCTCGGTGGACTTCTGGTAGCGGCGGATCTCGCGCAGGGCCACCGTGCCGGGCCGGTAGCGGTGGGGCTTCTTCACGCCGCCCGTGGCCGGCGCGCTCTTGCGAGCCGCCTTGGTGGCCAGCTGCTTGCGGGGCGCCTTGCCGCCGGTGGACTTACGAGCTGTCTGCTTGGTACGAGCCATGACAAATTTACCCAAACCAGTTATCTGACAGAAAAATGAAAGCATGCCACCCTCTACCAGTATATATAAAGAGAGTCCCGTTCTGATTGGACAATGTGCTTTTACCCTCTGGCTCTCAGTGAAAGTATTGGTAGAGACGTTCACTCCCAGATCACATGAGCCTCCGGTGCCTTTTGAGCAAAAATTAACATCTTCCTCCAACCCCTCCTTTTAACTGCTGATGTTTTCAGCCCTTTCTCGCCTGTACTGTCTTTATTTTTTGTTTACAGTCATCTTTGGCTTTTTCGGCAGAATTTAATACAAATTATTACACTGATGTATCTTATTTGCTCGATAAAAATGGAAAATTTTGGCACTTGAAACTGGCTTGCTTTTGATCAGCTTTTTGAAAACGCGCGCGCTAGATGTGATTGGCCAAGGGATTTTTTTTAGCCTCAAGTTTAGGAAGGCCAATTTCCTGTCAAATTCTTAACTGCTTAAACTCGGAGATCTACTTAAATTTACAGATTTTTTAAATAGATTTTTTTTTCTAAATGCACGAAGATCATTAACTCTGAAGTAATTTCACACTCGATATTATAACTGCATGAACACACTAATTTCTCACTATATCATCCTCATATAATAGCACTCCACTACATTTTACACTGAGATTTATGTAAAATGGTGTTAAGAGAACATACTCAAAGTTGTAAATGGTACCAAAAGATTACCATATGCCCTTTTAGTCATGATGAACCAGGTGTTAAGTTGTACCTAAAGGACATCTGGCTCGTGCATATATAGTAGTGTATTCTTTTCACGATTGATTAGGGCCCCAGCTCTGAACAATAGGAGATTAGCAAAAAAGGCGAGGGGGGGGGTCGGGGGGGGGGGGGAATTGCAGATGAGTTTGTCCTATTAAGATGCAAAACAATTCCTTTCAACATGATAGCACAAAAGGTGCGATTTTATTGTTCTATAGGTTACCAAGCAGATTTGCATCTAAATTTGACATTGACGAGCATTATTTTTTCTATGATCTTTTCCTCACGGTTGGTCCTGAAAGTCCGCTACCTTGATTGAATTGAACTACCTCTGACACAAAGTCTCTATCCTTTTTACTTTCATGAAAACTTTTTAGGACAACTTTAAAATTTGACGGATAGTTTCGCCTTTCTGAACAGTTTTCAAGTACTGATATTTACTTTTTAGGTTGACAAATGACACTAAAGATCATTTTCAACCAGCTCCTTAAATAAGGAAGTGTAAGCCCTTTTACTGAAGATGTGGGTGGCTCTAAAAAGAGCCTTTAGTTAAAATTGACTCCTGAGAGATCTAGCCGTTTAACACTCCGTTTTACTTGCCCTTGGCCTTGTGGTGACTTTCGGTCTTTTTGGGCAACAGTACAGCCTGGATGTTGGGGAGAACGCCACCCTGCGCGATGGTCACTTTCCCCAGCAGTTTGTTCAGCTCCTCATCGTTGCGAATAGCCAGCTGGAGGTGGCGCGGAATGATGCGCGTCTTCTTGTTGTCACGGGCCGCGTTGCCCGCTAACTCCAAGATTTCGGCGGTCAAATACTCCAGCACCGCGGCTAAGTACACCGGCGCACCGGCCCCCACTCGCTCAGAGTAGTTGCCCTTGCGGAGCAGGCGGTGCACACGGCCCACAGGAAACTGAAGACCAGCCCTCGAGGAACGGGTCTTAGCCTTGGCACGAGCCTTGCCACCTTGTTTTCCGCGACCCGACATCTTAACGCAGTCTAACCAAAACCCTTGGCAAAAAAATAAACAAAAACGGATAAATTGTATTTGCAGTCGAGAAGCAATTATACTTGCAAGCGGAATTGTAAATTCCGTTATTTGATTGGCTAAGAGAATCTTTAAGATGGTAGCCAATTACAAACGAGAATTAGAGTCACAATTTGCATACCGCCTGTCTGCCTGGAATGACTTAGCCAATCAAAGTGTAAGATTTTTAATACCATATTTGCATAGGAACCCTACAAATATTATGAGCGTGTTAACTAGACTACCTAGTTTTCTCTTAATTGAAAACGGTTTGTGCTTTGGTAGTATGCCTGAACCAGCCAAATCCGCTCCGGCCCCCAAAAAGGGCTCTAAGAAGGCGGTGATTAAGGCCCAGAAGAAGGACGGCAAGAAGCGCAAGCGCAGCCGCAAGGAGAGTTACTCCGTCTACGTGTACAAGGTGCTGAAGCAGGTCCACCCCGACACCGGCATCTCGTCCAAGGCCATGGGCATCATGAACTCGTTCGTCAACGACATCTTCGAGCGCATCGCGGGCGAGGCGTCGCGCCTGGCGCATTACAACAAGCGCTCGACCATCACCTCCAGGGAGATCCAGACCGCCGTGCGCCTGCTGCTGCCCGGGGAGCTGGCCAAGCACGCTGTCTCGGAGGGCACCAAGGCCGTCACCAAGTACACCAGCTCCAAGTAATCCTGACAAGTAGAATGTTTTCATAGTTAACCCCAAGGGCTCTTTTAAGAGCCACCTATCTTTTCAGCATAAGGGTTGTAATGGCTTTAATAGTTGATGTACCTGCCGAACAGATTTTGTCTTTATCTCTTTGTTGAAAATATTAGGCTTGCTGTGGAGCTAGCACCTTGAAGTACATAGGCCTTTTGAGTAGTTGCAACGAAATGATGTACTTAGTTCTAGATCAGTGGTCGAGTGTCTCTTGTACTGCTCACTTTGGCTGCAAGACTGGCCTAATGTTAACATGCAAGTTTCACTTACACTGCTATAATCTAGTGTGCCTTACACATTGGTTTCTTAAAAAGTGAAAAGGACTTAAGAAATCCAGTAAGACCCGTTTTGGTAATGCTATGTTGTAGTAAAAAAAATAATTTCTTGATTCCAGTTTAATCAATATCACTTAATACATATCTAGTGGATTTATATGCTTAAAGCAATGTAACTCAGATTCTAGCTACTAATGGAAGCAGGACAGTTAATGTGCGTGAAAGTTGAAAAACGAACATTGCTGGATGCAGGATAGGGTGATTTAATTATAATCAGAATTTTCCCAAGACTTGTCTAATGATAGGTTAGACCATAGTGGCAGTTTAGGAAAGAAGCACCCTTGAGATATTTTGGTGCCTCTACCTTAAATTATTTTCTTCCAGGGTGGATTTTATATCAGTTTATTTTTATCCCGGTATGCTAAAATTCTTCTTTTTAAGTGAAAAAACAATTCATTCGTCATTCTAGTTATGATACCACAAGTGTCCCGTTCTATGTAAACATATATAATGACGATGAAAATTTACACTTTTCCCTTGGTGATTATGAACCTACTTAAGGTTGTAAACTGCTACGAATGGCATCCCATGTAGAATAAATGCCAAGAATGTACATACAAACTATTTTTAGGATTTCAACCCAGGCAGGGAAAAAAGTTATAGTACTGTGTCTGCTTGTATAATTTCTTTCTCACTCACTACACAAGACGTAAGTGGACACACACACACAACACAACATGTACAAAGAATATTTAAACATTCAAAGCAACAAAACATAAAAAACAAAATCAAGAAGAAGAAAAATGTAAAAGAATGAAAACTATAAACAACAGATAAGTTATGTGAGAGTTTATATTGTTACAAACAGTTAATTTTTGCTTTCTGTAGTCTCAGAAGTACATGTCCAAGGAAAGTCTATATGAGCTTCCGGGGAGTACATGAACTTCTTGAAATTATGCACAATATTGTGTCCATATGTTCTTCCTCCTCCCAGAGGAGAAAATGTATAGTTTTTCATCAAATTTTAAAAATACTGTCACTTATTGTGTTAGGCAGAATAATGTCACCCCAATTATGTCTACCTCCTAATTTCTGGAGTCTGTGAATATGTTTGGTTACATGACAAAGGGCAATCAAGGTTGCAGGTGGAATTAATGTTGCTAATCACCTGACTTTTAAAAAGGGAGATTATCCTGGATTATCCAAACATACCCAATACAATCACAAGGGTCCTTAACAAGGAAAGAGGATGTCAGAGTACAGGACCAGAGAGACGGCAGCATGAGAAGAATTTGGCCAGAGATTTCTGGCTTTGAAAACCTAGGAAAGGGGCCATGAGCCAAGGAAGGAGGATGGCTCTAGGAACTGGGAAAGACTGGGAAAGATTCATTTTTAGAGGGTCAGGAAGAGAATGCAGCCTTCTGACACCTTGATTGTAGCTCAGTGCGATTTGTGTCTGAACACTGATCTGCATAACTATAACATTATAAATGTGTATTGTTTTAAGCCACTAAATTTATGATAATTTGTCAGACCCCAATAGGAAATTAAAGTACCCACACAAGTTTAAGAATCACTGGGGCCGGCCTGGTGGTGCAGTGGTTAAGTGTGCACGTTCCGCTTTGGCAACCTGAGGTTTGCTGGTTCGGATCCTGGGTGCGGACATGGCACTGCTTGGCATGCCATGCTGTGGCAGGTGTCCCACATGTGGCAGGTGTCCCACATATAAAGTAGAAGATAGGCACGGATGTTAGCTCAGGGCCAGCCTTCCTCAGAAAAAAGAGGACAATTGGCAACAGTTAGCTCAGGGCTAATCTTCCTCAAAAATAAAGAGAGAATTACTGATTAAAGTATCTAATGGATGTTCTTTAAGATAATATGATTATATATTTAAATGTGTAAGTATTATCCAAATTATTGGAAATGCATGCAAATTCTTCCTAAATATGATAGGCTCACGTAATTTTTTTTGTCTGCTTTATCTTCCCCAAATCCCCCCTGGTACATAGTTGTATATGTTAGTTGCAGGTCCTTCTAGTTGTAGCAAGGCTCACATAATTTTGAAATTGCTCTAATTGTAACAGCAATTTACATTTTCTTTTTTGCTAGTGTCTAGGGTGTCTGATTTCAACAACAGAAAGTCTCATTTCATTGAGCAGCACTTCCTCCACTCATTGTAATATCATTACTTATGGTTATAATACTACTTCAAAAAGCTTGCCTTCATTATATGTAAAGTACAAGATTAATGGATATTTTACCTCATAACTTCCATAAATAATATCATAATTGTGAATCCCATTAAAATGTTTATTTTTGTTATCATTGCATCTGTTTTCACAAAAGTGTCAATGAAATTGATTTTAGTAGTATTCTCATTTTATAAGTAAGAAACAAAGGGTCTGAGAACCAAAGTTCATTTACCTGGCAGAACTGAAATTCCAACCAATGTTTTCTGATTCTATGCACTTTCAAAAATGTTCAGATAGAATTCAAATCACATCAACAGATTTCTGAGTACTTTAGAAAGTACTTTTACATAGATTATCTCCTCTCCCCAGCACTAGGCTACATCTCTTTTCTTGGTGCATTCCTTGTTCATCTTTTATGAAACATCCTGAGCCAGCAAAAAACGAAGTCTTGGTTAGGTGAAAAGATGAAGCTCAGTATCTCAGAGGCCTGTAAGGCTGCACTTATATTCAACTCACTTTTGTCTCCTGGAATAAAGTTTACCTACCTGAGAGAACTGATGATGATAAACCCTCTGAGACTATGAGTTCCCTAAAAGCAAAGAAAATGTTTTATATGATTATCAGAGCCCGATGCTTAGAGGAATTGCAGTGTGCAAACACTTGAAAATGTGAAGTGGAAACGGCCCTTTCAATCAAGAGAGGCTTTGCTCCATGCATCAATGTCCAGTCAGGAGAACAGAAAAATATTGGTTGTTTTTACAAAGCTAATTTAACAAAAGTTACACATTTGGGAATACTGAAAAGCAAAAGCAGAAGTGAGATGTTCCAGGAACAACTGAACAAAACAGCAACCACGTGTAGAACTCTGGACAAAAAGAAAAGAGGTCGAGTTAAATATAACGCAGAAATCGGAAGGAAAAGCTGGTGGAGGTAAGGATTGGAATTCCAGGGTGGAGGTGATGATTCTGGAAGTGTGAAAGCAAGACTAAGAAAAGGAAAGGAAAACAACAAAAAAGCAGTAAACTAATCAATTGCTGCCGCGAGAAGGGAATACCATTGCTAGGGTGATACTGACAGAAACAAGAGTTCCCTCTGTTAATTCCTCTCTGGCTTTCCTTAGACATGGGGGAGTTAAGTGCGGTGTACTGAACTCCAGCCCCATCACCACGTAAGACAAAGATCAGGGAAAAGCTTGACTATTGAGCACACGGGGCGGTTTGTATTTTCATATATATACACACACACACACACACACGTGTACTTTTTTTTAATCAACAACGTAGCAAAACTTGAGGTGTCAAACTGTGCTTAGGGAAAATTTCCAGCAAAGCAAGTCTGGAACTAGAACGTGTTCAAACTCTTTAAATGACAATTTAAGTGGCTCTGAAAAGAGCCTTTGGGTTTAACGGTGGCTACAACCACATTTACTTGGAGCTGGTGTACTTGGTGACAGCCTTGGTGCCCTCCGACACGGCGTGCTTGGCCAGCTCCCCGGGCAGCAGCAGGCGCACGGCCGTCTGGATCTCCCTGGAGGTGATGGTCGAGCGCTTGTTGTAATGCGCCAGGCGCGACGCCTCGCCCGCGATGCGCTCAAAAATGTCATTGACGAACGAGTTCATGATGCCCATGGCCTTGGACGAGATGCCGGTGTCGGGGTGGACCTGCTTCAGCACCTTGTACACGTAGACAGAGTAGCTCTCCTTGCGGCTGCGCTTGCGCTTCTTACCATCCTTCTTCTGGGCCTTGGTCACGGCTTTCTTAGAGCCCTTCTTCGGAGCAGGAGCGGACTTGGCCGGTTCAGGCATATCAACAAAGAACAAGTTCTGCACTACGAGAACAAAAGTCTTAAAATGTCTGCTTACATGTAGTCTCGTCTTTTATAGGCGACCTATGCAAATAAGGAATTCAACACTATCTAGATCTGATTTGATCATATTTTAGTGACGGAGAATATGTAAATTTACCTGCGTCACAGCTCCTTTCTTATTGGTTGACCAGTCAAAGGATAATTTTAGCCAATCCCATCTCGCATTTTACAATTCCATCCGCCACTATAACTGGCATCCTAGTGCTCATTTTTGAACACTTCTGTTTTGCTTTTTCTGTGGTTCTTACACTGTTTTCATTCAACATGTCTGGACGTGGAAAACAAGGAGGCAAAGCCCGCGCTAAGGCTAAGACGCGGTCCTCGAGAGCTGGACTCCAGTTTCCAGTGGGTAGAGTTCATCGTCTACTCCGTAAGGGGAACTATTCTGAGCGGGTCGGGGCCGGCGCGCCGGTGTACCTGGCGGCGGTGCTGGAGTACCTGACGGCGGAGATCCTGGAGCTGGCGGGCAACGCGGCCCGCGACAACAAGAAGACGCGCATCATCCCGCGCCACCTACAGCTGGCCATCCGCAACGACGAGGAGCTCAACAAGCTGCTGGGGCGCGTGACCATCGCGCAGGGTGGTGTGCTGCCCAACATCCAGGCCGTGCTGCTGCCCAAGAAGACCGAGAGCCACCACAAGGCTAAGGGCAAGTGAAGCTCTTAAGCAGCCCTCCAGTTCACGAAATCAAAGGCTCTTTTCAGAGCCACCCACTTATTATGGAAAGCGCTGCAATACTTATGTCAGGGATACATTTTTAGATTTCAAGAAGTTTCATTTGCCTGTTAGTCATACTATCCTGTCCATAAGATTTTTTTTGTTTAATAATGGACACTTGGTGCTCCCATCCTTGCCGCAAAGAAGTCGCTTCACTTTCTAAGCTGTTGTTCACATACGCACCGTAAAATGTTTGAAAACCTTCTGAAACGATTTCGGGCGTCCTCAAGAAAACAATACATTTATAGACCCACAAAAAATCTGTTGGAGTTGCAATTCTGTGTCAGGTCATAACTTAAGGCTGTAGGCTATGTAAATGACAGAATGGTAGGAATCGAGACCATAATGTCAATTTGGTGACAGGTTGTCTTGTGTATATGTCCACTGTGTATATACATATATATATAGTTATATATGCACTATATTGAAACAAATTTACTGTAAGTCTAAAATAGGAATGAAAGAACAGAAGAGGGAGAGATGACCAATGACATGGGAGGGCGGGCTTTTTAAATTTCACGGACGATGGCGTTCTTAGAATTTTTTAGCCCGTTGGTTATTTCTCTTTTCAGAAAAAAACAGTGAAGTGCACTAAAATCGACACTATACGCTTTGAAAGCAGCCTGAGAACCAATTAGATCACAGCGTGGAATCTACCAACCCGACTGATCTGCTCCTATGAATAAGGTCAGAACCAGGTCGGTACTATTCCCCAGCCAGTTTCTTTTTCTGTGTTGTCGTTGTGGCTCGCTCTAAACAAGCTGCACGCAAATCCACCAGTGGCAAGGCCCCGCGCAAGCAGCTGGCCACCAAGGCGGCTCGCAAGAGCGCGCCGGCCACGGGCGGCGTGAAGAAGCCCCACCGCTACCGGCCCGGCACGGTGGCCCTGCGCGAGATCCGCCGCTACCAGAAGTCCACCGAGCTGCTGATCCGCAAGCTGCCCTTCCAGCGCCTGGTGCGCGAGATCGCGCAGGACTTCAAGACCGACCTGCGCTTCCAGAGCTCGGCCGTGATGGCGCTGCAGGAGGCGTGCAAGGCCTACCTGGTGGGGCTCTTTGAGGACACCAACCTGTGCGCCATCCACGCCAAGCGCGTCACCATCATGCCCAAGGACGTCCAGCTCGCGTGCCGCATCCGTGCGGAAAGAGCATAACCCAAGGCGTTTGTTTTCTCTGTACTGAAAAAGGCTTTTTTCAGAGCCCCCTACTTTATCCGTAAGACCTGTTGTAATGCTTTCCCGTGTTTTACCTCCCTTGGCAAAAGTAGTTTCTCTTTTTTCAGAAATACTTAAAAACCTGAAGTAGTGGTACACACTAGATTTTCTAACACCGGGTCCTATTTGGATTTATAATAATTTGTGGTGTGTAATGGTGTATAATCCATTACTTAATTTTAGAAAATCGCTTCACTTTTCACCCCTCAGGCTATCTTTCAAACCATAGTTGTATTTGATGAGAAGGAGGTAGGCATGGAATGGCTTCTAGGTATTAAAGATCAAAAAGGACATCTTCCTAATAAAGTGACTTGCCTCTTAACATGCAGGCTTATTTCCGTATGGATTCTGAAAGGAAATTGTAATCAGTGGGGTCAAAATCTAGGAAAATCAAACGAAATTAGTACCTTAATGGGCCTCCAACCCACTGGTAGGCTTCAGTAGCCTAAAAAGCAAATACAGACCTGATTTTTCACATGGAGAAATTGGTCTTTGTGTCTTTACCTTATGACAGTTATCAAAGTGTAAAATTCAAAATAAACCAAGTCTCATAAATACGTAAAGAATGTTTCTAATAACTCACTTTTTTTTAAAGATTGGCACCTGAGCTAACATCTGTTGCCAATCTTCTTTTTTTTCTTCTTCTTCTTCTCCCCAAAGCCAGCCAAGTACATAGTTTCACATTCTAGATGTAGGTCCTTCTGGTTGTGCTATATGGGACATCGCCTCAGCATGGCCTGATGAATGGTGCCATGTCCACGCCTAGGATCCAAAGTGGCGAAACCCTGGGCTGCCAAAGCTGAGCACACAAACTTAACCACTTGGCCACAGGGCCAACCTGCTAATAACTCATCATTAAGGGAACCATCAGGAAGATAAACCTAGTTCAAAGAAGTATAGGAGATTATCAAGACTATATATAGCTCATTAAGATGAAAGAAACCAGAATAGTCACCCCAAAATATGCCTCTTTACATCAACATTATTTTGGCTTGAAGGCACTTAAGCAGCAATGGCAGGAAAAGCTCTCTCTAACCTCCTCCTTTTCTGCCTTAATGCAGGATGTAAATTCTGTACTGGAGACCACTCTAGAATCTCAGCCCAGAGAGGCACCAGAGGAATCTGCAAACAAGCCATACTCTGTTAGTTTCCTCTCATATGTCTACCTTCCCAGTTTGCCACCCTTAGAAGCCTAAAACTGCTTTCCTTTGTCCTGTCATTTCTCTCCTAATCTATTGTTCTTCGTTGAAGATGCTATAAAAGTCACAGTTCTAAGCCTCTTTGAATTACTCTTTCCTGAGTGTCTCCCATGGATATATGCAATATACATGTTAATAAACTCGTTTGTTTTCTTTTGCTAATCTGTGTTTTGTTACAGGGGCCCCAGCCAGGAACGAAGATGGATAGAGGAAAGAATTGCCTCTCCTACAATAGAAAGAAGATTGAAATAAAATCAAAAGAGCAAATTTAGATCAAAAAAGTTATTGTCCTATAACACATTTATACTTTTAGGTTGTCTTTTCTACTAGAGACAGATCATTTTCATCTCTATTGGACAAAAATCATTGAAATTATCAATATTCTACACGTTAACGACTAAATTCACAGATATTTCACAGATACTGGACCCTAATAAGTAGTCAAACATAAGCACATTCACCTACAATAATTAAAAAATACTTACGTAGGCTTTTAGACTATGCTGTCATATGACAACAAAAGGAAGTACAGTCCATCCCTTTGCCTTAATTCAATATTTGAATATTTCTTAACAGTTTACAGAGCTGTCCTGCAATGACCAGAGTCCTTCTCTTGTCCTCAGTGAGCCTATGCCTGATGAAGACTCTGCTTTCCTGTCTGAACTTTCCTCCTTCCTGTATTGTGCTTACCAGTGATGACTTGCCATGACTTTGAAGAACAAGTGTTCAACTTCCCAATCCTAAAGAAGAGGAGGAAAGGACCGCCACCCTCTCCTAGACACTCTTAACTTCCAACGAAGTCAAAGTCACATGACATCTCATTTATCTTCGTTGTTCAAAAAGATAAAATCATGATTCAGCAATTATAAAATGAGCATGTTCCAAAGAGTTTATAGAAATCATCAATGAATGAAGCAACAGGTAATGTACTATGAGAGGTTCAAAGATTTCAGAACTTAGGGTATTTATAGAAAATTTAACAAAGAAACATTAGGATAGGATTGTTGAATTAGCTTAAAACAACATTAATTAATGTCCAAAAGGCCATAAATCTTTGGCGCTATATTTGTTCCACTGGACAGAAATTATTTGCATCTTTGCCAAATAAAGCCCTGCAAGTTAATGAGTAACCTTTAATCAACAGTAAACAGTCACATGATTAGAGTACGTTTTCATAGATTGCTTCTCTGGCCTTTTAACCTTTTATGATATTAGACATCACGGCCATCCATTTTTGCTTACTTCCAAGTCTCAGATAGTTGTTCTCAATTGTGAATCCTTAGTAGAAAAAATAAATATATAGAACATGCAAGATAAATTTCTGTGAAACTTCACAGTGTAACTCCTTGACCTTCTTACTTTACTCATTTATCAAATAATAGACACTTAAACTTTTTATTCTTTCTAGATTCCAAAGTAATTGATTTGATTTTTTTTATCTCTGTCTTTGTCTTTATCTAAATGCTTTTGTACTTCCACTAAATGATTTCTTTTCTTCTTTTTTTTTTTTAATTTTTATTTTTAAACCACCAGAAAGGACATTCTATTGCACAGAAGCTTAAGCTCTTTTGGACACTAACCGCTTTGGCAATCCATTTTGGATGTTCTCTCAAAAAAAAGACACTTTTGAGAAAAATATTAGCATAGATTTTCAGGTAATCTCCATCTCCTGACATCCTACCCTTGAAGAATTTTTTTTTTTTAGGAAGGTTAGCCCTGAGCTAACATCTTCTAACATTTCTCTTTTTGCTGAGGAACACTGGCCCTGAGCTAACATCGGTGCCCATCTTCCTCTACTTTATAGTAGGATGCCTACCACAGCATGGTTTGACAAGCGGGACCATGTTCACACCCGGGATCCAAACCGGCAAACACTGGGTTGCCGAATAGGAACGTGGGAACGTAACTGCTGTGCCACCAGGCAGGCCCCTGAAGAATTTTAAGAGCAATAATTTTTCTAGTATCCATCTTTTCTTGCCCTGATGAGTAATGGTTTATTTGACAAGCCTTCCTTAGTTCCCTAAAGTGATTTCATTTTATTTTTATGTTTTTTTGCTGCCTTTAGGAAATAATGCAAGCCACACAGATAATTGAAAATCTTCCAGGAACCACATTTTAAAAAGTGAAGAGATGCAATTACTTTAATAATGTATTTAACACAAAATATTTTCATTTCAACTCGTAATCAATATAAAGGCATTATTAATGCAATATTTTACATTCCTTTTTACAGGCTAAATCTTCCAAATTGGGTGTATATTTTATTCAATCTGATACTAAATTTTTATTGGAAATAACTTGATTTGTACTAAAATTCCAGAAACTTTACTGTTGAAAAATTAACTTCACACGCCTAAGTTGTTCAAATATACCTCAAAATTTCCAGTAACGGAAGAATGTATCAGCGTTCAATAGGGATAATAGGCCACATCTGTACCGTGACAGTGACAGATGGTAATTAGTCTTTGGGTGGTGAACACGATGAAGTCTACACCAAAAATAAAATAAATAAAATAAAATAAAATAAAATAAACTTCAGTTAGTTGGCAGCATCTGTCACATTCCAAATGCTCAAAGATGGATACTGACTACTTTATCAGACCATGCAATCCTAGAGGGAATTGTATTCGGGGTGTAGAGGTGGTGATGGAGACTGCTGGCTAAATTGAGAGAATATAGAAATTTAAATATAGTCATGTAAATTTAGCGCTGACTTCTAAAATCAATATTTGCCCGTATAGAGACACGGAGATTACGAAAGCAACTGAATATAGGTTCAGATTGCAAAATACCAGATTGAGAGATTTCAGACTACTGGGGAGTAAGTCAATCTGTGAGGCATGAAGATGGAACCTTTCTCAGGTAATTACGATAGTCCTCTCTGACTATGTGGAGCATTTGACCAAAAATTTTTCTTCTGATTTTCAAAACAACACCCCTGTGATATCGGGATTAACATTTCCGTTCTACAGATGAAGAAACTCAAGTGAAAACGAGGGAACACAGGTCACAAAACAGATCCTGGAGTTGAGAAGCGTAGGTAGCGTTGAGGGCCCAAGCAAGGGGGTATGTCTCCCAATAACAAACATCCAAGCTGGAAAGACTCGTTGCCCAATGGATTTCAGCTCTTTCCTCGCTTCCTAAGATCATTTAACCATCATCGCTAAATATTTTACCTTCATTTAAAATCTACAAAAATGTTTCTCAGGGAAGAAAGAAACCATGGATTCATTTACATCTCAGATATGCCTTTAAAATGCGAGGAAATGTATAATCTTAGTCGATGATGTGCCCATGGTGTAAGGATCTTAATAATTCACACTTGAAAAGCAGATAAACATATAGTAGCTTGATAGGTACAATTATTTCAGTCACTTAATAAACCAGATAATTCTTTAAATGCCCTTAAACAGGGCATGTTGAAGTGAGTTCAGGGAACTAGGAGGGACTCACAGAGCTGTCATCTCCTCCAGGCTCCGCCCCACAGAATCACAGGAGCTTGTGGGCGGGGATAAATTCAGTTCCGCACTAGCCCCTCCCGCCTACCCAACCCAGCCTCATGTCTAGTTTTCAAACAGGTCCGCTATTGCGTTATAAATAAAAAAAAATTCGGCTTGTTTTGATGTAGTGTTGGTAATTTGCCGTGCTTAGTGGTAACAATGTCCGGACGTGGTAAAGGCGGGAAGGGTCTTGGTAAAGGTGGCGCTAAGCGCCACCGCAAGGTCTTGCGCGACAACATCCAGGGCATCACCAAGCCCGCCATCCGGCGTCTGGCCCGGCGTGGCGGCGTCAAGCGCATCTCCGGCCTCATCTACGAGGAGACCCGCGGGGTGCTCAAGGTCTTCCTGGAAAACGTGATCCGGGACGCGGTCACCTACACCGAGCACGCCAAGCGCAAGACAGTCACCGCCATGGATGTTGTTTACGCGCTCAAGCGCCAGGGGCGCACTCTGTACGGCTTCGGAGGCTAAGTCTGAGTTCATAAACTCAGTTTTTGCGGTAGTGCTTAAGGCCCTTTTCAGGGCCACCTATTTACTCACTTAAAAGAGCCTGTGTCTCACGTTTTACGTTTTTCAGCAGAAACTGGCACTAAGCGAGTTTTTGTGGTCTAGATTCGATTGTTTTAACGTAGTTTAAGATAAGTTGGATTTGAATGTTAACTGTTTAGAGCTCTGCTTCTTGATGGCTTTTCCAGTATAGATTGTGATGGCCAGGTGACTCACTTATAATTGCATTTAGTTAGAGTTTCTTTATTTCACATGATTACACAATCCAATTAACTTTGTTATAATCAATTTGTTACACAGATTTTTTAACATCTAGAGTTATCAGTTATCTGCAAATTTAAATGGTTAAAGAAAAACATGCAGGTAAGGCCTTATTAGCCTACTCAGTTTTTTAGAGAAATTGCTAAGTATTAAACGCTCAGCCACTAGTTGGCAATTCAAGGGAAAAGGTACCATGAAAGAAGCCTGGGTTGAACTGTAGAAAGTGAAGCACTAGCCTAGGGCTACATGGGGGCTTCTCTCAAGCATTGATATGTCAGTTATCTAAATTTATTACCAGCAAGATATTTTTTAATCCACAAAGAATTTGGGATTTGTCTCACATCACATCTATTCCTTCATATTCTAGAACAGGAACAACTTTAATTAATCTCATAAACCCTCTGGTTTCTATTCTCAGCTATAACTGCTAGAATTTAGCCCTGTGCTGGGACTCAGCCACACCCCATGTTTTCTCATGTGTCAGTACTTGCAAAGGAAAAGGAAGAAAGTCAGTCCCCAAACTAATAACCAGGTAACTCTTCTGTGTCTGGCCTTCAGAAGACATTCCCTGGTAGTGGCCTATTTAAATACGCTTCAAGGTATTTGATGCCCTTCTAACCTCTTATCACAGATTGCTGCCTGCAGGCTAAATGAACCAATCAGAGTATTGTGGGGTCAATGGGAAGGAGGGGAACAGTTAAATTCACTTTCTTTTGGTTTTTAGATTTCCTTTTTCCTGCTGGGTTCTGTGATGCCTTATAAGGGGGCCCCCAGGATTCCCCCTCTTGGGGTTCACTCTTGAGTGTGGATGTGACCTGTGACTTTCTTCTAACCCATTGTTAGTGCCATCAGTGGATTCTGACTCCCAGAGATCCAGTGTACAGCAGACCAAAATGCTGCCTGGTCGTTTTGTGCCATCCTTGCACCTTCCAGCACTTTGGCCAGTGCTCTGCTGTTATTCATAGGATTTTCATGGCCGATTTTTTTCAGAAGTGGATGGCCAGGTTCTTTTTCCTAGTCTTAGTCTGGAAGCTCCACTGAAACCTGTCCACCATGGATGACCCTGCTGATATTTGAAATATTGTTGGCATAGCCCTCATAGCAACACACAACCACCACAATATGACAACCGACAGAGGAATGGTGTGGTTCCCTGGCTGGGAAACAAACTTGGGCTTCATGGTGAGAGTGCCAAATCTTAACCACAAGACCACCAGGTCTGGCTTTCAAACCAACAGACTACTGCAAAGGTGACAGAATGTAAATAACTTTGTATATGTAATTATGTTACCTAAGATTCTAATATCTATCCTCCACCAATATGCATGGTTGCTTTGATGGACCAAGTACCCATGTTGGTAGGATTAAATGACAAGAAACTCAGAGGGCTCTTTATGAACTGAGAGAGGCCTCCAACTCACAGACAAAAAGGGCTTTAAGCCAACAGCCAGCAAGAAAATGAGACCCTCAATCCTACAACAACGAAACAAATTCAGCCAACCACTAAGTGAGTTTGCAAGTTGATTTCTCCCGTCAAGCATCCAAGAGACCCTTAATCCTAGCTAACATCTAGATAGCATTCTTACAAAGGATTCAGCTAAACCATGCCCAGACTCACAAAACTGCCAGGTAATACACGTGTGTTGTTTGAAGCTATGTAAATTTGAGGTAATCTGTTACATAGCAATAGATAACTAACACAGCTAACACAGTTGTCATTTTCAACAATCCATGTTTCATCTAAAATAACACATATGATGAACTGAAAACGCAATCTTTAATAGATTTACATTAAAAAACCAACCATATAGCGTGAACATTCTGTTTCACAACTATGTAAGCTTCCACACATATATCAGTTCTCAACTGGTACATGCATTGATCATGCCTTGCTGGCTTCGCTAATACAAGTCAATAAGCCATGACAGGTCCTCAAAAACAATTCATCCATGTGATTTTGCTTTCAGCAGTACAAAACCTTAACACACGAGACCTCAGATATCCATCCATATCCTCTGTGCTCTCTGCACTTCTGGATCGACTCTTATTCCTGTTTTGTTCTGTTCATTCTTTTCTATCTACATAAATATGTATAGAACCAAACACTGACTGAAGACAACGAAAACAAAAGTGAAATATAAAAGAAAAATTAAGACTTAAGAATGTGCTTCAGCACCATGTGTGGTTGATTATATCAATAACAGCCTCAAGGCAAAATAAAGTGGATAAAGTTTTTAACGTATACTTGAAGAATTACCTTTGAAACAGTCTACAGTAGTAAAGATTAAACTGCGGGTTCCAATGACTTTCCCAGACCTAGTCAGGTATCTGTTGTGTAACTGACATTCTGAGCCTTGTTGTTGTCGATAAACTACAGATAATATCTCATTGTATGAGTTAACATTTGTGAAGCACATATAACTATATTCATATAATGCGAACATTACGTTTAAAACAAACAACCCGAGGTACTTAGACGTTGAGCTCCCCAAATGACCACTATAAAATTACCTTAAACGCTAAACAATGGGCAATTATAAAAATTCAAAGAATTTAAGAAATAAAAACACAGAAACCAGAATACCAGAAATTCTGGGAGCTTTAGCACAACGCACACTAATAATTATATTCTGTACGCAATTATTTCCCAAACTCATTGCTGCCCTAAAGATTAATATAAGTTCAAATAAACATTTCACACTACATTTTCTTAAGTTTTTAAGTAGGTTGTCTGTTAAAAGACAAAACATGCTTTTAAAAACCTGCTGACGAATCTTCATATTACAACTCTTAACGTGGAAAAGTGAGTGGCTCTGAAAAGAGCCTTTGAAGAGAGCAAGATGTAGAAAAACTTTTATTTGGAGCTGGTGTACTTGGTGACGGCCTTGGTGCCCTCGGACACCGCGTGCTTGGCCAGCTCCCCGGGCAGTAGCAGGCGCACGGCCGTCTGGATCTCTCTGGAGGTGATGGTCGAGCGCTTGTTGTAATGCGCCAGGCGCGACGCCTCGCCCGCGATGCGTTCGAAGATGTCATTGACGAACGAGTTCATGATGCCCATGGCCTTGGACGAGATGCCGGTGTCGGGGTGGACCTGCTTCAACACCTTATAAACATAGATAGAATAGCTTTCCTTACGGCCTCGTTTGCGTTTCTTGCCATCTTTCTTCTGCACCTTAGTCACGGCCTTCTTGGAACCCTTTTTAGGGGCTGGGGCGGACTTAGCAGGCTCTGGCATGGTAAACACCTAGAGGACGAGGAAAATGAGGAAAATAACAAGAAAAACAGCAAACCCAAATCCCGGTATTTATAGCACGTATATACAAACTAAGACTAATAAGTCTGAACTTTGATTGGACTAAAGCCGACCAATAGAATAATAGTATGTAAATTAGGTATTCCAAAACTGCTTTTTTTATTGGATGAGAAAAAGAAAGCTTTCTGGGAATCCAATAGGTTGACGTACAATACTGTTACATTACTAGAAATTCACTAAAAAAAACCCACATTTTTCTTAAATTTTGAAAATAAGTAAAAACTTGCCCACGTGAATGCGAAAACCAAGGAAGAAAATCTTGTTGTTTAACCAGATCCAGTCTTGACCGCAGCTCCGCTGGCTTTGTCTTAAATTGTACCCAACACTTCGGGTCTCTCCGGTGAGAATCCAGAGATGCTAGGCCGTTGTAGTACTGTAAAGAAATATTCTCATAAGACTCTCGATCGCCACATCTTTTTCCAGGTTCCGCATGGCAAGTTTTTTTTCTGGGTTCTTGCCATTAGACCGACCCGGGCTGACATTTTAAATGCATCAACACCAAACAGTAGAGTCAAATTACCAGTTGGAGACAAACCTGATATTAAAGACCCAGGAATCCCAGGATACTGGAATTGTGCTGCGCATACCCTGAATGAAATACAAAACTCTTTACGTCTAAACAGTATATCCTAGAACACCATGCTAGATAGTTCCCATGGATACAATAAAATAGGACTCGAAATTCGTAGACAACGGATTTTTAAACAGGGAACAAGGACGGGGAATTTGATTCGGATGAAAATGGGTTAAAGGCAGAAAATGGCGGGTGTTTTTTTAAAAGAGAAATCCTAAAGTGCTTTCTACTTTAAACAGATTCTATTTTGTATATTCGAACAGACGAAAAGATAAAGAATATTAAATGACTACTGTAAAGTGCTTCTGGGTCCTACTTGTGTGTGTGTGAAGCATTATCAGCGAAACAACCTTAAAAAATGACTTTTCAAAACAGGATGGGAAGAATTCTGACAATTGAAATCAACCAATCAGAAACTTGTACCGAGCAGTTCAACCAATCCTAAATCGCTCGGAGCACTTCCGGAATTTAGCGACCATGACTAAAAGGAATTACCCACAATCCAATCAGATTGATTCTGTTCCTGTATAAATACAGAGGTAAGTCACTTTCCTCTAATCCTAGTGCTTTTCAGACAAGCCATGGCGCGTACTAAGCAAACGGCTCGTAAGTCCACCGGCGGTAAGGCCCCGCGCAAGCAGCTGGCCACCAAGGCGGCTCGCAAGAGCGCGCCGGCCACGGGGGGCGTGAAGAAGCCCCATCGCTACCGGCCCGGCACGGTGGCCCTGCGCGAGATCCGCCGCTACCAGAAGTCCACCGAGCTGCTGATCCGCAAGCTGCCCTTCCAGCGCCTGGTGCGCGAGATCGCGCAGGACTTCAAGACCGACCTGCGCTTCCAGAGCTCGGCCGTGATGGCGCTGCAGGAGGCGTGCGAGGCCTACCTGGTGGGGCTCTTTGAGGACACCAATCTCTGCGCCATCCACGCCAAGCGCGTCACCATCATGCCCAAGGACATTCAGCTCGCTCGCCGCATCCGCGGGGAGAGGGCGTAAATTTCCCGATTGAGTTCTTGCCCTTAACCCCAAAGGCTCTTTTCAGAGCCAACCACTTTCTCTATGAAAGATGCTGTAATTATAAATAAGAGTCGCCGATAAAGGACGAGCTCTTAGTGGGTACAAGCCTGGACAGCTTTTGGGGTAGACTTGGAATTAAGCTCTCCAAAACAGTGTTCCAAGTAGGAACTGCCTCTACTGTTTCAGACAAGGCTTATGCCCTATAGTATGTAGCTCTAGTGGCTTTAGGCTTGGCCGGCGGGTTTATGGGCTTTATCCTTAACTGTGCTTTGGCTGTTTTTTTTGACCCCTGCATCCGCCACAGTGGCTAATTATGCCATTTCTTAGCGCTGTTCCAAGGGGTGGCAGTTCTCGCTTTTGGGGGCTTAACTGAGACTTCAAGCGCTTGCTTGTCTTTCCCAGAGGCCACCTTGAACCGATCCCGAGGGTCCAGGACCCTGCACAAGGGTGCCCTGGCTCACCAGAATTTTGAGGCCTAACTCGTTAGCATCCGCTGGAACCTTGTTGACCGTGTTCAGGAATAAACCCCTCTGCCCCTTGGGAGCCAGGGATTAGGTTTCTAGCTGAGGCACCGGAAGGAAAGACTTGGCCTTGATAGCCCCCGCGGACTTCTTGGGGGTGGTCTCTACCTGAGTCTTCTCTACAAGGGCCTAAAGCAACCAACAGGAACGTTTTTAGCTGGCACCCTTAAAGCTATCTCTTGTGGTTTTCCTAAATTACCTTAATCTCTAAATCCAATCCCATGAAAGTACCTCCTATTTGTTAGTAAAATACGAAAATCCTTTGGAAGTTGGAGTGTTCTCTCGCAGAAATTCTGCCCTTGCTTTCCATTCATACAAAAAAGTTTCACGCTATTTGTATTCAATAGATAATTCCTTTCTTCTGGAAGTAACAGATTCCTCACTTTTTAAACTGGTAGCTGAAGGGAGGGGAAATAAGAAATTCTATTCTGAAACCATACAGGCTGTTATTTAGAAATGTAGAAGCCTGTTAACTAATTGGGGTACTGTATGATGTTTGAAAGAATTTTATGTCTCTTTAAATGCTTCAGCGATTTCCAGTTTCCAGATGGGTAAGATATCCTTAACTACGGAATTAAGAAGCTTCTATTATTATTATTTTTATTGTTAATAGACTGTTTCTTCTCAATGATCACTAAGGAAAGAGGTTAGTCAGGTGGTAAATTTAACAGGGACAAAGCTGTAAATAAATATGCAGGCCAAGTTAGCCATAGTAAGAGTCCTGGAGGTTTTTAGAAAACATCTTTATTTTTGGAAGTCTGTCACACATTGAGACTTGGGTGCCGAGAACTGGGGAGTCTGGGTCCAAATGGAAAAAAGTTTACCTATCCATAATTAAAATAACTGGAGTGATAGATATTTGTAATGTTGGATAAAAGCATTCCATATCAGAATGTGATTTCCCATACCCTGTATTTTCGCTGAGATTCTAGTAGTTTTTAATGTGTTTTTCTGTCTCACCAGATGTTGGACATCAAGACATGAGGACCTAGTTGGCACAGAAAACATCTTCTTGTATCATTAAGTCCACCAGAACGTCTAGAATGGTCCTTTGCCTAAAACAAACCCTCAGGAAAGTATTTACTCAAATTGGAATGTAAAATAAAAAATTATTGAACAAACAGAAATGACCATTTAGTGTGTTGTTGGTTGCAGACATAAGAGATTGGTAGAGTTCATGTAATTTTAATATACAGTTTTCCTAAGTAGAAATAATCAACATTTATTGAATGGTTGCAAGGGACCAGAAATTATGTATTATTCTATGAAGGCTCCAAAATATAAGGTAAGTTCAATAGTTATCTACTAGAATTACCTATTACACATACTTATTATTCTACTAGTACTTTACAGATAAGGAATCTAAAACTAAGAAAGTTTCAGATAATAAGGGTTAGAGCTAAAACGTTTCCCATTAGGTATTACTGTATTAAACTTCAGCCCCAATATAATGCTCCTTGTTCACCCCTGAGGGCTTTATTCCTTGGAAAAGTTGTCATAGGGAAACTGACATGTTTATCTTAATTCTTTATGTTAAGGAAAATGATGGGTTTTGAAAATTTACAGGATTCTATATGATTGTGAAGTTCTATTGCATGATAATTATTACACCCAATTGTACAGAAATATAAGTGGCTATCAGTAAAAGTATAACATTAATATGGTCAATTTTTAGCCTTTCTGCCCACCATTCAAACAGTAATCTTATGGTTAAGTCACACAGACACAAAGTAATTTTTTTTTTAATTTTAAAAGGCATACATTGAAATGTAGTGCTTAATGTCAGATGTTTTTTAAATCTTGATTTTATTTATTATATTTTTTTATTATATGATTTACTATATGTATTTAAAGTTTGATTTTATTGGGGAAGGATCACAAATCTGACTCATGCCGCATTTTATATGTACGTTTTGGTGCATTAAGTTGTATATCCATTTCAGGCTCACATGGTTGCTTATAAGTAGATATAATTAAAAACAACAACAAAAAAGTATATAATCTCTGAATGACCAGTAGCTTTATCTTATGAAAAGGAAAAAAAAATCCAAGATAATTAAGAAATTCCATTTCATCCTTTCTCCACACCTACCCTAACCCATCACAGGTAAATGTTGATATTTTACATCTGGAAATTTTTACTGCAATAGTGTTATAAATATTTTTGGTTTTGTTTTTGGAGTAGCCCCAACACCTTGCATGACATACTTCAGAAAGTAAGGGAGACAGTACCTAAGTCAAACTGTGGGAGCAGGGTCATAAAAGGGGCAGAGAGATTTATTACCTTTGGCTTCCTACACAGAAAAACAGAAAATGAAATCCCTGAATCTGATTAATATCTAGGGATAATCTCACCCATTTGACAGGGTCATAAAACACAGTCAATTAAAAACACACCTAGAGTAGTAGGAAAACAAGACAAATAAGATTAATGCCCTAAGATTTACTTTAACGAGAGAAAAAAATAGATGTATTACAAATTTTCCATTGATAATAATGGCACCCACCCAATTATTAAATGTCATCAAAGCACATTACTAGAGAAACTAGATTTTTTGATTAGGGGAATTTATTCATGGAGATGAACTTGAGATGGAACTGGAAAGATTCTTGCAGGTAGAGAGGAGAGAAGTAGGAGCTGTAGGTGAATAAAATTGTCAAAAAATAAAAATAAAAAAAGAAGGAATAGAAAGGTAATCTGAGTTGTTATTAGTGCTAGTTAGTGTGAGCAGAAAGCGTTATCATGAAAAAAGGCCACAGGGTCCTCACTTGAACCTAAGGTAATGGGGAGCTAGTGACCCTTTTCATAAGTAGAATGACCAGAATTTAGGAATTAGAGGCTGGAGAGACTAGAATTAGCATACTGGTTAGAAAACAATGGAATCATCCCAGGAATGAGAGGATAAGGAGAAAATGTGAGAAGGGAGAAAATGTCAGTTATTGAGACTACTTTAAACATCAACCTGATTTAGTGACTGAGTGACAAGACTAACCAAGGCCTGCAGACAGTGACATGAACTCAATCTGCGTCCCTTAGTTAAAACGAGCCAGGCAATTACTAAGTAGAAGGGAGAAAGTAACGACTTCAGACTGGTCCTAAAATTACGTTTGACTCACACCTATGCCGAGGGCAGAAGTACCCTCCTGCAGGTAAGAAAATATGAACATGCCCTTCAGAACTTCCATGCTAACACATCTTTTTTAATTCTTACTTTTTTGGCTGTGTATTTAGGTGAGAACTACTCACACAGGCTCCTGTCTATCTGATATTTGCAATCTTTAAATGTCAATCTATTGAGTATTTCTAAATCTGTTTTTTTTTTTTTAAGGATTGGCACCTGAGCTAAAATCTACTGCCAATCTTTTTTTTTCTTCCTTCTTCTCCCCAAAATCCCTCAGTATATAATTGTATATTCTAGTTGTAGGTCCTTCTGGCTCTGCTGTGTGGGATGCCACCTCAGCATGGTTGGGTGAGAGGTACTAGGTCTACAACCAGGATCCAAACCGACAAAACCCCTGGGTGCCGGCCCCTCAACCTGGGGTTTTCCGCTATAACTGACAGAGCATCTTTGCTCAGCAAAAGAACATCAGAAACCCACGCATGAGCATTTCAGGAGGCCCTCCTGGGGATGTGGGTTAGGGCTGAAATACAGGGACTGGGAATGCACTTCCTTCTCCATCTTCTTCCTGACACAGGGCACTAACATGTCTTTAGCCTTCTTCTTCCATCCCAAGATGTTCATTTTAATCTGATTTAACTGCAGAAAAATTTGGGGAGATGGATGAAGATTTAAACAAATTCTGATTCTCTTGAAAATTAGGGCTTGCCCAAGGTAAAAGAATATAAATACTAATTTACATTAACTAGAGTCAAACTCTAGGTCACTGATTCAATCATGTTTAATTGATTCTGATGCATTCCAAAGGGCTTGAGAATTGGATAGCTCACCAAGAGGCTAAAATAGAAATACCTGAACTCCACTCCTTTTCTAGTTGATATTATTGATGGGGAGCAGCGTAAAGAAAACGACGCTAGGAATAAAGAAACTTGTGTTTGGGACCCAGGTCTACCATTTGTTGATAAAGTGATTCTGGCCATTTCATCTTTCTTTTTTTCCCCCTCTTCTCCCCAAGTTTCCCCACTACATAACTGTATGCTCTAGTTGTGAGTGCCTCTGCTTGTGCTATGTGCGACGCCGCCTTGCATGGCCTAGAGAGCAGTAGTTTCGTGTCCACGCCCAGGATTTGAACTGGTGAAACCCTGGGCCGCCTAAGCAGAGCATTCAAACTTGACCACTCAGCCACAGGGGGGCCCCTTCATCTTTCTAAGCCACGATTTTTTTTAACTGTAAAACAAGCATTTTTACTAGACCTAATGCAAATGCTTTATAGTAAGGTGATCGTAGAAGGGCTGTGTAAACTGTAAGGAGCCACAGAGATATTATATAGGCATTTTGGCCACTCTTATTGAATGTCACGTTCCTGCATAGTTCTCTTGTTCCTCATCACGCTTCATCAAAAGACTAACTCTCTCATTTGGGGGATTAAAGACCTCACAGATCTTTCCCCCCTTATCTTTCCCACTCTATGCAATATCTTATTTTCAAAATGCTTCTTTTGAGTAACTATTTCACATTCTCCCATTTATCCAGATCTCCTTCTCTACCAAACCACTCTCATAAAAGGAGGTTTTCAAGCTCTTGCTAGAAAGAAGAAATTATGGGATGCAGCTGCGATTGGGAAAAATTGAACTCTGCTTAGAAGAACTAGAGAGGTACTCACAGGCTACGTACTTTTTTTTTTTTTCTAGAAAGTATAAATAGTAAACTTTAATAAACTATTAACCAATAAGGGTTGGGGTGCTGTAAACACAGAAGATGAAGAGGCATTTCAGCCAGGAGGTATTTGTGCACACTGGAGATCTGCTCAGGGCTTCATGACTTGTTTGGTACTATGGACCCTGTGGATAGTCTGGGGCAACCTATGGACACCTTCTCAAAATGATGTTTGGGGTTTTTTTAAAGATTTTTTTCCTTTTTCTCCCCAAAGCCCCCGCCCCTTCCGTACATAGTTGTATATTCTTCGTTGTGGGTCCTTCCCGTTGTGGCATGTGGGACGCCGCCTCAGCGTGGCATGTGGGACGCCGCCTCAGCGTGGCTTGATGAGCAGTACCATGTCCGCACCCAGGATTCGAACCGACCAAACACTGGGCTGCCTGCAGCGGAGCACACCAACTTAACCACTTGGCCCCAGGGCCGGGCCCTCGAAATGATGTTTTTAAGTACACAAAGCATGCAGGATAAGAAAGCCGCATTACAACACAGTTACCAAAATGTATTTCTTTTAAGTATGTATTATATGTCTTTCATTAGTAACACAAGTAATGGAACACAATGTTTCATTAGTAACATCAACAAAGAGCAGCAAGTGGAATAACATGTCAGTTTCAACGATTCAGAACCAGTGTAAACTATTTCAAGATCTCTGCAAGAACTGCAACGTGGTAGGGAAACATTTGTGGTTGCCATTGTTGAAAAACGTCAACGGTACTGCACAGTCCCTCGTGATTAGTTGTCTACACGCATAATTGAAGGAAATACTAAACTGCATTTAGAGTTTGTGAAAATAAATCATTTTTCCCCATCTAGGTTTATAGCCCCACAAAGGTGTGAAGAACTCAGATTTTTCTCAAATTTGCCCCTAAAATTAAGTGGGTTTCCCTGAAATTTAAAACAAACAAAAAAAACAAAACCTCAGTCCCGGGGATGAAGTGGAAATGGTAGAACAGGTCAACCCATCTTTCCAGAGCCCATTTATTTCACCTTGGTTACCCCATCTTCAGGAGCTCGCTAACCAACCACGCTGCCTTTCCAAAGGTTCCTTTTCCCCTCCTCACTCCCTATTTCTTGCCTATTCGCCGAAGAGCTATTATACAGTCAATCATGGCTCCCTGTGTCCTCTCAACAACTTGTGGGCAAGGAATTTGTCAAATACAGTAACTCATCAACCGCCAGAGATGACTTTTACACTTTTTACTATCGCTTAACATCGAGGGAGTAGCCATAATTATACAGATTTAGGTGGAATAAGCACAGAGTGAATAGCCCCCCAAAGAGGACTCCATTGATCTCAAGGAAAAAAATCCAAGCTTGTCAACTGTTTCACTATATGTACAAGTTTTAATATCTCAATCTCTGATTGGTGCGGTACATATTCTCTCTCTATAGCCCGTGCCAATAGGTCCAGGGGTACATTCTGATTGGCTAACACTCAATAGCCTCTGAAAACCAATGGAAAAGGAAATTTTACGAAACATCCAGACTATAATAACCCCTTTCGCAGACTAGATTGTGAGAATTACAGCCTGTCTTCTAATATGTCTGGGCGCGGGAAACAGGGTGGTAAAGCTCGTGCTAAGGCCAAGACCCGCTCTTCTCGAGCTGGTCTGCAGTTCCCTGTGGGCCGAGTGCACCGCCTGCTCCGCAAGGGCAACTACGCCGAGCGGGTCGGGGCCGGCGCGCCGGTGTACCTGGCGGCGGTGTTGGAGTACCTGACGGCCGAGATCCTGGAGCTGGCGGGCAACGCGGCCCGCGACAACAAGAAGACGCGCATCATCCCGCGCCACCTGCAGCTGGCCATCCGCAACAACGAGGAGCTCAACAAGCTCTTGGGGCGCGTGGCCATCGCGCAGGGCGGAGTCTTGCCCAATATCCAGGCCGTGCTGCTGCCCAAGAAGGCCGAGAGTCACCACAAGGCTAAGAGCAAGTGAAGTTTACACTTCTATCAGAAGCCAAAGTATTTTCTCAGAGCCACCAAAAATTATCCTCAGAGGACTGTAACTATGGAGTTATTCATAGAATTCTGAAAGCCCAGCAGTGCGCGCGCATGTTTGTGCGCGCTCTTCTTTCCACCCTGCCGCAGTAAGTGATCAGCTGGCCAATCACATGACGGCGGTAATTTTTTTAAAAAACGGTAAGAAAAATCGTAAGCGATCCTTTAGCTACCTGTTGCTTACTATGGTGGTTACCAAAAACATTCAGTTAAGCTCTTTTACCTGAAATTAGTGGGTGGCTCTGAAAAGAGCCTTTGAGATTTTCAGAAAGGGACTTCCCGCTGCAAGTTTATTTTTTCTTTGGCGCCGCCTTCTTCGCCTTCGTAACCTTCGGCTTGCCAGATTTCGGCTTGGCTGCCTTGGGCTTAGGAGCTTTGGCCTTTGCTGGACTCTTAGCCGCCTTCTTGGGCTTGGCTGCCTTCACCTTTTTCGGGCTTTTGCCCACTTTTTTGGCCCCAGCGGCCGCTGCCGGCTTCTTCGCTTTCTTAGGGGTCTTCTTGACGCTCTTCTTCGGGGTGGCCGCGCCTGTGGCCTTCTTGGACTTCTTGGGCGCCCCAGCAGCCTTCTTGGGCTTGGCCGCGCCCGCCTTCTTGGCCTTGGGCTTAGCTTCCCCGGCGGCAGCCTTTTTGTTGAGTTTAAAGGAACCCGAAGCGCCGGTGCCCTTGGTCTGCACCAGGGTGCCCTTGCTCACCAAGCTCTTGAGACCCAACTTGATACGGCTGTTGTTTTTCTCTACATCGTAGCCAACTGCCGCCAGCGCCTTCTTGAGTGCGGCCAGGGACACACCGCTGCGTTCCTTAGAAGCGGCCACAGCCTTGGTGATGAGCTCGGACACCGGGGGCCCGGACGCTTTGCGTTTTCCAGCAGCTGCGCCCGTTTTCTTCGCCTTCTTCTTAACAGGTGTTTTCTCTGCAGGTGCGGGAGCAGTGGGAGCCACTGGAGCAGTCTCCGACATTTTCCTGTTTTGCCAGGGGAGACAAAAAGTAAGCGTAAACTGTCAGAACGGCGTGTCCCGGGCGCTGGTGGCTGGGGGTTTATATAGAGAGTCGCTGAGTGATGATTGGTTCCTGCTCCGTGCGCCGCGCAGCAGAGAAGGGCTCCTCGGCTCTGCCGTGTGGCTGTGTTTCTTGCCCCTTAAAAAAGAAGAAAAATATAAGAAATCTGGGCATGAAATAATTAGGGATTTGGGGGAAACGGATCCGAGAGTCTCCAGGCTTCATTCCTGCCTCATTTGTTATAGCTAGTTTCAAAACGGGCACCCTGAAACTTTCCTGATTCCCCCAACTCTCTTGAAAACTTCGGTCAAATTGAGACAACTTTCAGATTTTCTTTAAAAATACTATTTCTCTCTGTTCCCTTTGCAAATCTTTCTTCCAGGGAAATGTTCTGCACATTCTTTTCTTTGCGACTTTATATAAATAAACTCATTTTTACTCAAATAAAGAAGGAAAATCGGATTTTTCACGGGAGCAATAGCACAGCTCTCCCGCAAGTTCTTTGCACTAAGCACTGGGAATTGGCACTGGGGTAGAAAATTCTACGCACAAGACGGATAACTATTTTATAAAAGATAGATTTTATTTTTAAGTATTTGAGTGAACAGTGTGCAAACTGGCTTTGATCTCCTAGTTTTGGTGATTTAAACATTTTAGGAAGGGAGGGGGGTGAGGTTGCGCCATTCGTTTTCTACATAAATTGTTTTAAATAGAGTCACCAATCCTCTTAAAAAATTGTTAAACTAGATTTTTCAGACCTAGAATGGGCTTTAGAGATCACCCACCCCATCAACAAAGAAGAGAAGTGAATCATGAAGCAACAGAATGAGAGTTGTGCATCATTTTACCAGCTGGGAGCTGAAGAACACTGTGAGATCATGTGTTTCTATTCTATCTCCTTAAAATTGTGCTTGACAGACACCGTGTCCCTAAGATTTTTTTCCTGCAATATTTAGCGTATAATCTTGTGCATATTTCCTATATTTCAAGATAATATTTAAAATACAAATTTGATTTGACTGTTTTTCAACATTCCAAGTAGGGACACAGAGGATTAGAAAGAAAAAAGTTCTCTTTTAAACCAGTTTCTGAATGTTCATAATTCTCCCTGGGCTTTTTACTAACAAAATATGAACTAGGCTGTCACAGCCTAAATTAATTAGCTGAATATGTCCTCCTAAGGAGTTGAGCAAACATTTCATAGCAAACATGACCGATTTTAAGACTCCATCTTTCTTGGTTTGCCACACAACAGAGCTAATGGAATTAGGTAAATATTGGATAATTAAGCACAAAATTAATATCCACCAAATAATCAGATACTGAAATTCAACCCCATGTTTATTAAAATAAAGACGAAAAGTATTCTGGTATTATGTTTCTTCTAATTAATACTCCCATTTCCAAAAACCTAGTTATTCTGGTCTGCATTCAATGGTTACGCAAATTTTCTCGTATAAATCCAAGATACAATAATCAACGGTAAAAATGTCATCTCTCTACACTTAACTAATTCCATAAGAAGCAACTGGCTTGTTTTTAAATAGACTTTTATTGGCTGGCGGTGACTGAAATCAAGTCTCTGGAGCTTAAGACCATGTTATATATCAAATACAAACACTGTGTATGAAGAGGTAAGCTTATAGGATTGTACCTGCAGCATCTAATTCTCCCTAGGCAGACATTTTCTGGGTTTCTAGAGGAAGGGGCTTTTTGTCATCCACAATAGCATTGTTGTCAATAGCAGTGGTTACAAACATTATATAGGCCCTTTTTCTTTTCAGTCCAGAGACTATTATTACCTAGACTTAAAGTACAATTAAAATTCAGATTTTTAAGAGTTTACTATTTTGGTCATCATTGTAGTCGTAACATCAGTTGTTGAATAATTGCTGGAATTGCTTCCTGAGTTACATATACTCAATTTAAGATAAGCGAAAAGTTCTTTCTACAGCAGATGTCACCATTTCATTCTTGTGCAACTCTTACTGGTTCCCATGGCTAGTTAGGTTCCAAATAAGTAGGAAGAGACTGGGGCTAAGGGCGATTTCCTTCATTGTTTGTAGGTAATCTCTGCCCTTCCTGGAGGGCAAAAGTTGAGACTTGATTTCATAGGAAAAATTCTTCCCCAGATGTTTATAGAAGGATGGGGCTGTGCTGCACATAGCTACTCTTACTGCTTGAGACCCAGGTACTTATCTTCTCTGTAACTGTGGTGTGGACAAGCTTCTTGAAAGCTGGATCACCCCATGGGACAATAAACTGGAAAAGTTTCACCTATTACTTTGGTAGCCCACAAAAAGGTTGTGTTTATTACTTTTGAATTCTAAGTCTGTATATATCTGAGAACAGTGGATTTTCCACTAGACTAAGACTGGAACCCTTTATTTTATAGATGTAAAAAATAACTGAGGAAAACTAGAGGCCAGCCCAGTGGTGTAGTGATCAAGCTCATGCACTCTGCTTCATCTGCCTGGGGTTCATAGGTTCAGGTCCCAGGTGCGGACCTAACACCCCTCGTCAAGTCATCCCACATAAAAAAGTAGAGGAAGATAGGCAACATATGTTAGCTCAGGGCCCATCTTCCTCACCAAAAAAAAAAAAAAAAAAAAAAAAAAGACTGAGAAAAACTATGGTTAGATAAGTGATGGATATCTCACTTATGACTTCATATTCTCTCAAATTCGGTGTGACCCCTCCCCCGCTTACCATAGTAAATGACTATGAGAGACATAGGTAGCACTCACCAGGTCAATCCACAAGGGCTGTGCTTAATTATTCCAAAATTCAGTGAATTTCAAAGGTTTAAGGAGAAGAGTGACTGCGTTGAATAAATACTAAAAAGGGTAAAGAAAAAATAAGGGCTATATAGCAGATCGAGCATTGTGTTAGGATCAAATGTTTTCACAAGGGCCGTGAGAAATCACCTCTGTTTTAATTTCTTATGAGAAGGTCTCACCTGAGGTTACTTCCACTTGAAACTCTGCTCCAAGCACAGTTATATCTTACTGATTTTCTTTCCTAAAAGTGGCATTACTACTGACCAGCTTCCAATTTTCTTTCTGTATGTCCCTCTCTCTATCTGTAATATCAGGTACACCCAGAAGTTGGCTCATTTCTATTATACTTCAAAAATACTCCAATCCTCACTTCCTACAGTAAGCCTCATACTCAAATATCTACCACATTGCTTTTCCCAGGGTGGACTAGATGTTCTTCAGAAGGAATTTTCTATCACAGCACAGCCCAATAGAACTTATTGCAATGCTGGAAACGGTCTGTCTCTACACTGTCGAATGGATAGACCCTACCTCCATGTCGTTATTGAGCACTTAAATGTGGCTAAAGTGACTGAAGAAATTAATTTGTAATTTTTTTATTTTAATTAAATTAAAATGAGAACATGTGGCTAGTGGGTAACGTAGGACAACACAACTTTAAAACAACTCTTCTCAAACTTCATTGAGCATACCAACCACTTGGACATTTTTTAAAAATGCAACATCAATTCAGTGAACTTAGAGCTGCACCTGAAATTCTGTAAGTCCAACGAGCTCCCAGGTGATGCTAATGTTGCAGGATGTGGCTGCTCCACACATCACTACTAGGTTGAAACTAGGAGTAAGCCGGACTGGTGTCTGACCCGGAACCCTGAGTGTATTTTTTCTCTTCCCTCAACTAGACTTTGAGTTCTTTAAAAGAACATGTGTGATTGTCTTTGTGAAGCTGGAATTTGTACACCATTCTTGGCATACAGTAGACCCTAAATTGTTGAGTGAATGAATCAGTAGTTCTTGTTTGGTGCCTTTCTCAAAAAAGAGAGCATGTGAGATCACTGTCTGAGTCTGCAGGTAACTGTACCTGAGCTAAATCTCAAATTGTCTCTCACTCAAGGAAATGAATAATCTTCTGACTACCTATATGCTAAGCACCAGCACAGAGGGAATTTTTAAAAACGACACCTGTAGTACGTAAAAGCTACTCAATGTGAATGTGTGCAACATGAGCAAATATTGGCATTTGTCTATTAAACCTATCAACCGATCATCTGTCTGTGCAACATGACTTCAGTTACTCTTTTTACTTGGACAGTATTTCAGTTTATTAGTGTTATTTTGTTAATTCTGTTAATTTGCAAACTTTTATTCACCGTTATGTACCTTCAGTTCTCTCCTGGCATAGATCAATGGTAGATGGCAATGTCCTAAGACTCCAGAAACGAGCCTCAGTTATACCTCCAACAATAGCCCTTATTAACACAGGATTAGCTCTCCAAATGTGGGATTCTTCATCTTTACGGTGCAAATAGTGCTTTATAAATTAGGGAGCAAAGAACAGAATTTCAGTTAACGTTGGTTCCCTTTCCTAGAGCTCCCTCGTTATTAGGAATGCTGAAAATGATGTATATGTATATGCTCTGCCAAAATGGAACGTTCCACGATAGGCTAAATTTAATAATGTAAATATTGCTGGGAATGTAAGAATTAGTGCTTTTATATTTAAAAGAACACTCACAAAGAACTTCTACAAGTAATTTTATTATGGCATCTCTCCGTTTGGTAGACAAGTGTAGTGCTGCTGCCTCCTTTTTATAAACCATAAAAGTGGTTAGGAGACTTGTACAATATCTGTTGTTTGAGAAAACCCGCAGGCACAAGACTAGAGGCCACAGAAACCAGACTCCGGACCGCTACCAGGAAACAGGAAAGAGTCAGCTACTGAATCGCGTTTCCCCGCCCCCTTCCCTTGTTAGGCAGTAATAGACGCCCAGTAGAGTAGGGAAGGGGCGGGAGTAGAGGTCTCGTTCCCGCCCCCGCCGTTTCAGTTTCCTAAAAGGTCCGCAGAGTTGATATATAAATGGTTGCAGCAAACTGTTAGGTACTATAGTGTGATACTCAGTTTTCATCATGTCTGGCCGTGGCAAAGGAGGAAAGGGTCTGGGAAAGGGCGGTGCTAAGCGCCATCGCAAGGTGTTGCGCGACAACATCCAGGGCATCACCAAGCCCGCCATCCGGCGTCTGGCCCGGCGTGGGGGTGTCAAGCGCATCTCCGGTCTCATCTACGAGGAGACCCGCGGGGTGCTCAAGGTCTTTCTGGAGAACGTCATCCGGGACGCGGTCACCTACACCGAGCACGCCAAGCGCAAGACGGTCACCGCCATGGACGTGGTCTACGCGCTCAAGCGCCAGGGGCGCACCCTCTACGGCTTCGGCGGCTAAGCCTCACCGCAGTCCCCAGGTCTGTAGCCCATGCTCGCTCACAAAAGGCCCTTCTCAGGGCCACCCACTTGGTCACACGAAGGGCTGTTAACTGAAATTTGAAGGTAACGTTGAGTGCTTTGTGTCATTTTTTTGTTGTAATTCTAACTTTGCTAATTTTGTCACTTTTCGGCAGTCTGGTAGCCTTTGTTTTAGTTTTTCTGTAGTTAATAGTAACTTCCCAAAGATGGCGGCTCTTCAATGCCCACAGAATAAGGAAAATATGCGGTTGGAAGCTGCTGGGTTTACCAGCCAACTGGAGCACATTGCATTTAGTAATGGTAGCGACTTCCTAGTTTAAGTGTTAGCAACTGACTTCATTCTACTCCAGGACCGTTTAAAACTCACTCCTGGAATGTCTCACTAACCCAGCTGCTAGTGTCCTCTACATGTCATCTGGGGCTTGTAACTCTAGGGTCCTTCCTACAGGAACTATGGATAGCTATGCATAGATGGATCCATGGCTAGTAAACTGAAAAGTCAGCTACTGAGGACTTGGGACTTTAGGGGGACAAAAGCTCCTGGATCATCTTACTGCTTTATTTCTAAATTTATTGCCAAAGCTTTGAGAATTTAACTTGAATGTTTCTAAATGCATTCTCTCAACCTGTGGCTTTCCCTCTATGACTGACTGCATCCTTAATCTCTCCATTTTCCCAGCAGGCAGAAGACATAGCCCTCAGGCCATCCTATGTTCACCCTGCCTCCTGTGTTCTAAATCCTCTCTCCTTGGATTTATCCTAAATCTAGATTGAAAACACACCCTAGTTTGCCTGGATTGTTTCAGTCTGTACCTGTTTTAGGATAGTTATTAATGGAGCCACCTTCCACTATCAGTAACTTATTTGACTGGACAATAGATTAGTTGGTCATCCTAATCTAATGATAGTGATAGACCAGTTTAAAGTCTTAATATTCTCTCTACTGGCTCCTTCCCATCCACATATAGTTTTAGTGTCTCTCAATCCATGCCCTGTCCATTACTACATCCATCCCGTTTTATCAAATCTTCAAGACCTGAGTAATCTGGAGTCACTATCTCCAAGTCTCAGTCATTCTTCATAATTAGGACTTCTGCACTAATCACTCACTAAAAATACCCTTGCTATGGTTACCAGTGACTTCCTAAGTATCAAATCCAAAATTACACCTTAATTTAATTTATGCTACATCTGACTGTATTACTCCGGGCTTCAAAATCTCACCAGTTTTCTGGTACTTTTCTTCCTGACCCAGATGCTATGTTCATGATTCTTCTCAGTTTGGTTTTATGGGTCCCATTCCTCTGTCTCTGATTCTTCCTGATGAATCTCTTACACTTTCTTCTCATCGCTTCTTAGAGCATCTTAGATCTTCCCTGAGCCAGCTCTTGCAGAGTGTGCCGTAAATGGTGAGACATCATCCAGGCACCCAGAAAAAAACTGAGTATCAGCTGAAAGATAGCAGAATATGCCACCCCAAAATATTCCACTTTGGCATAAGGATTATTTTGAGCTAAAGGCACTTGAAAAACAGCAGATGCAAGAATGGGGCTCTGTCCTCTCCTTTTCTTCCTGAAAATAGATAATTACTCAACGTAAAAGGGATTTAAATCCCTTCCGTATACTAGCAATAAAAGAACATTCTTATCAGCAGAGATGAGGAGTCAAGGCTGAGAGAAATCTCTACAAACATACCTTGTTAAAATGACTCTTAGCAGGCGCCGGCCCAGTGGCCGAGTTGTTAAGGTCTGGTACTCCACTCCGGTGGGCCAGGGTTTTGCTGGTTTGGATCCTGGGCACAGATGTACCGCCGCTCATCAGGTCGTGTTAAGGTGGCGTCCCATATAGCACAACTAGAAGGATCTACACCTAGAATATACAGCTATGTACTGGGGCGTTCTGGGAAGAAGAAGAAGAAAAAAATCAAGAAGATTGGCAACAGATGTTAGTTCAGGTGCCAATCTTTAAAAATTGCTTTTAAAAAAAGAAAACTCTTACCTTCCTTTAGTCTCTCCATATATTTGAGTTGCTATTTCACAATTACTATTCTGTTCAACCTAGTATATAAGCACTTAGGCCTAACCACTTTTTTGGTCTTAATTTTGCTATGAAGACTCCTATGTATGTATAAAAATATTAAATAAAATTTGTATGTTTTTCTCCTATTAATCTGTTTTATGTCAGCTTAATTCTTAGGCCCAGCTGGAGACCCTAAAAGGGTAGAGGAAAGTTTTGCCTCTTATCAGTGCCCTATAGTGACCATAGATTCCGGATAAGTCTCTACCTCCATTCTTCCCAGCCTACAATCACTCCATCCCACTGCAATCAGAGATCATCCCATCCAGGCAAAAATAAACAAAATAAAAAACCTTCACTGGTTCTCCTAACATCTGGAGAATAAAACTCCATTTCCTGTGCTTTATCTGACTTCTGCTCACCTGGACATCTTCGTCTCAAAGCCCCTCTCCCCAGTCACCACCAATTTCTACAGCTGAACGTACTGAACAGCTTGTCATACTTGGAACTTTCTTCTTGTGAACAATATCTTTTACATACACTCTTTCTTAGTCCACAAATAACCTTCAATTCTTTTGGAGATTTTCTCCAGTAAGGGAGGAAAGAAAAAATGGGTTTCCTCTACTCATCTTAGGTTCTCTGGCTGGTCCCTGTAAATTAGATTAACAGAAGACAAGAGTAAACCAAACAGTAGTTTAGCATGTGCATCAGACGTACACATGGGAACACTCAGGGATGAGTAAAGGAGTGGTTAGAATTGGGGGTCTATATACCTAACTTAGTAGGGGAAACTGAAGGAAAAGCCAGTAATTTTTTGGAAAGACAAATGGGCCTTTAAGAGAATAGATGGGAAAGATGATAGTTTGTGACAATGTGTGGGTGTGGTGCCAACTTCTCATTTCCAAAAAGAGACGAGGGTTGCTCCTGAGGAGGGGATTTATGACAATTGAGCTCTTTTGAGAGGCTCTAACTTTAGGCAAATAAGACTTCAGGAACTGAGATGTCTTCAGCACGAAAGAATTCTCATGCTTTATATAAGTGCTTATATAAAGCGGCATATTTTGAGGTGGGATTTCCTGATCCCCTCCACTCCTTTAAGAGTCTCCATCAGGAGAACTTTACCTGATTTTGCCTCGGAAATCAGCAAAATTTTTCCCAGGCAAAAATCAGCACCTAGGATTTCCTGACATTTCACAAAGAGTTGCTGGTGATGATGATGATTAATACTTGCTTTCCTCTCTGAATGCCTCGAAGGTTTGGACCATGTTTTCATTTTGGTATCCTTAGGACCTAGAAGAATTACATGGTATGTATTATTCACTTAGTCAATATTTGTTCAATAACTAAATGAATAATCTATCAGGGCCACTACTAAACTTTTATACAAATTGTTCCCTTTTAACAGTAATGAGCTTTCTTCTCTTACCATTCCTTTGCACAAATATCAGACTTGTGGCTGCCAATCACTATTGCAGACTTTTTAAAATGCAGATTGCAAATCATAAATTGGTAATGAAAACAATTTGATGGGTCCCAAACAGCATGTAAAAAAATAAATATGTCTCATGTTTCTTGTTCTTACAGGCAGGTCTAAAATGGCCTCTTCAAAAGAAGATATTTTACTCAAAATTTTCTCACAAAAATAACACGTTCATAAGCTGATAAGTAATCAAAGTGAGCCATATTTCAATCACTATTTAATGGAAAGCCATGGTTGCTATTGAATTCCTAAACTTCATTTTGCTGGCATGAATTATAAGAAAATAAAAGAAGAATTAGTAGTGTTTTTTCTTCTGTATTTGTTTTCTTAAATGTGATGCCAAAAAGATTGTTTCTTTAGTTCTGTAACTAGGATTGGCCTCTTCTACAATGTAAAATTTCCTAAAAATGTATGGTATTATCTTTTTGGCATATTCATTTGTACAGTATGAAAAAGTTACCACAACAGATCTTTTATGAAAAGATTTAATTATCCAAATTAATTTACTTTGAGTGAAAATGATATGTTTAATAAAGTGTTATTGGTGATGCTTCAGAATCCAAGATTAAAATTTGGATTTATCTATATTCATTGATATGGACAAAAAAAAGGGAATGGAATATATATATAGAAAATATCAATGTACCATCTCATGTAATAGGTGAAAATATTGTGTTATAAAATTTTAGTTTCAAGTATATGTGTTTTTGTTTTGTTCTGTTTTATACCTAGAATGTGAAAATTGGAGGACAAAAAGTTTGAAAAATACTGGCCTGTCTATCTCCTTTATAAATTTGTGCAATTCTCAACTTAGAACTTGGCCTCCCTTACCCAGGCTTTGAAACAATTCTCAGCCTCTGTCACAGCTAGATTGCAGATATGTGGCCTATAAGGCTTCACCAATCAGTCAGACCTTTAAAAGACTCCAATTGATAGCAGCCCTGATATCGGTTTCCCTACATTATACCTAGCATATGTCAGGTAAAAACCAAAGCACTCATTCCCTGCTTACTCCGGCTTCCTGGCTCCAGAATCCACTATCCTCCATGGAGACAGACACAGCCAAGGACAAGCACCTGGATTTGTTATCTCCTCCCCACAAGGAGGTACAGGCTGGTGGGAGAGCTGCTGACCAGCAAGGTCGCAGGCTTCCTCCTTTCTGCAGGTAGTCTCAAGGCCAAAGACAGGCTGGTGGGAAAACTCGCACCAGCAAGGCTATATGCTCCCCTCCCCTACCTAAAACCCCAAATAAAAACCTTTCCTTTTAGCTTTCTGGGGAGTTTTGGATTTCAGCGTTAGCTGTCCTCTCTCCTCGCTCAGTGACGTGCAACAATAAAATTCCTACTTTTTCCACTACGCCCGGTGTCAGAGATTGGCTTGCTGCGCAACAGGTGAGCGAACTGACTTCAGGTTCTATATCACTCTCCAAAAGGAGATGACAGGACAGCAGAGATCTGTTTGGAGCTTCCACGTCTGCTGGGAGAGGAGATACCAAAAGCACCCAGCTTTGAAAGTAGAGGCAGCAGTCAGGGCTTCCAGGTGGGTCACATCCTGGCTCAGTAGTGACAGTTGTGACAAAGCAGTACCAGGCCAATTCTGCAGCATGGTTTTGGGGTTTGTCCCTAGACATGTTTTCAGCCATAGTCATCAGGCCTCCCAAGAATGCTGTTACCTATCCCTTTAAACACCACATTTAATGTGTGACCAATCAGAGTCAGACTTTCTTGTTTGCAGCTAAGAACTGTGAATACAAAAAAAAAGGTTTTAAATTATTTTAACTACTTTCTGGTAGGCTTTTGTGTATTTTAGGTATTTGAAGTTGTTTCACAATGATATGTAGGAGAGGTAAAAGTAACAGGAGAAAAGCATACAAATTTTATTTTACGCGTACAAGGGAGTCTCCACAAGAAAAGGAAGATCCAACACGTAGCTAGGCCTGAGCACTGACATGCTAGGTTGAACCAAGAGTGGCAATTGTGGAAAAGTAGCTAAAATATATGGAGAGACTACAAGAAGATAAGGGTTATTTTAACAAGGTCTATTTGTACAGATTTCTCTCGGTCTAAACTCCCATCTCTGGTAATAAGAATGCTTCTTCCTCCTGGTACAGAGACAACATGAGAATTTCACATGAGAATTTTCTCTCCTGCTTTCAGGAAGAAAAAGAAAGTTCAGAGTGCCCTTCTTGCATTTGCTGTTTTTCACATCCCTTTAGCTCAAAATAATCAATATGCCAAAGTGGCATGTTTAGGGGTGGCATGCCTTGGTATAGCCATGGTAGACAGAATAGTACATCCCCCCCCAAAAGATGTCCATGTCCTAATTCCCAGAACCTGTGGGACTTTGCAGATGGGCTGAAATTCAGGATTTGGAGATTAGGAGATGATTCTGGATTATCCACGTGGGCCCAATGTAATCACAAGGGTCCTTATAAAAGGGAGGCATGAGATGCAGACTCAGAGAAGAGATGTGATGATGGAAGCAGAGATTGGAGTGATGCACTTTGAAGATGGGGGAAGGGGCTACAAGCCAAAGAATGCGGGCGGCATCTAGTAACTGAATAAAGCAAGCAAGCAAATTCCCCCCTAGAATCTTCAGAAAGGAACACAACTTGACCAACACGTTGACTTAGGATCATTAGACCCATTTTGGAATTCTCACCTCCAGAAGTGTAATATAATTTCTGGGTTTTTTTTTTTTTGAGCAACCAAGTTTGTGTTAATTTGTTAGAGCAGCCGTAGAAAACTAATATGACATTAATATGCCCTAACTGGAGTAGCCTTAATCTTCCTTTGTCTTATTGTGAAAATTGGCTAGGATTTTACCTGGGAACTTAACCTAAGTTTGCTATGGTAAAACCTAGTTCCCAGAGTAAAAAACATAATTATTTTACCTCTGAGATGCCCAAGTTGGATTCTTAATCAAATCAATACTTCATCTCCTTCTAGGTGCCAAGCAGTAAGACAGACCCTGCTGCCAGATACTGAAGATCATTGAACTACAGACTGCCCCCAACTTACCATAGTTCTACTTACGATTTTTCAACTTTACGATGGTGTGAAAGCAACACATATTCAGTGGAAACCATGCTTCAAATTTTGATCTTTTCCGCAGTTAGCAATATGCCATATGATACTCTCTTGTGATTCTGGGCAGTGGCATTGGAGCCGCAGCTCCCAATCAGCCACATGATCATGAGAGTAAACAGCCAATACACTTACAGTCATTCTGTACCTACACAGCCATTCTGTTCTTGACTGTCAGTACACTATTCAGTAAATGAGATATTCAACATTTTATTATCAAATAGTCTTTATGTTAGATGACTTTGCCCAACCGTAGACTAATGTAAGTGTTCTGAGCACATTTAAGGCAGGCTAGGCTAAGCTATGATGTTCGGTAGGTTAGGTGTACTAGATGCATTTTCAAATCAAGATATTTTCAATTTATGATAGGTTTATCTGGATGTAACCCCATCACAAGCACAGGAAGATCGGTATAATGGATAAAATAGTATGTTGGTAAAGGTCCAGACAATGAAGTAGAGTATAGTAGAGAACCCAGAAACCAGCCCGCACACATGGAAACACTTAGTGTAAGATAAAGATGGCGTAATAGACCTGCAAGAGGAACATGATGTCTTCCATAAATGATGCGCGGATAGTTGGACATCCACATGAAAAAACAAGTGAAATTAAAACCTACACCAAGAATATTAAACACTGAAATGTGAAAGGTCAAAAGAAGCTTTTAGAAAATAATATAAATAAATATATCATCATGACCTTGGATTAGAGAAGAATTTTTTTAAAACAAGACATTAAAAAGAAAAGAAAAAACATGAAGTACGAGATGGGTAATTGTGACTATATTAAAATCAAGGAGTTCAGTATACATAAGCCACTATATGAAGAGCAAAAATATAAACCACAAAACTGAAAAAGATACAAATATAAAACTGGTAAAGTGCTAGTATCCAGAACATATAAATCAATATTGATTGAAATCAATAACAAAAATGGAAAAGAGATTTAGAAATTGGACAAAAGACTTGGCCAGGAACTTCATAAATGAGAAAAATCAAATGATTAATAAATATGTTAAAACATACTCAACATCCTTAGTAATCGAGTAAATGCAAATTTAAAAGCTGATGGGATAATTCTATACACCTAGCAGAGTGGCAAAAGTTAAGAACTCTGAAAATAATAAGTATTGTTGAAGGTGCAGAATAACAGGCTGTCCCAGGCACGCCTGCCTGGTGAAAGCATCAATTGATACCATTATTTCAGAAGACAGTTTTGGTGTTACCTAAGACGATCGTTGATACACCATAACCCCGGATCCATAGTTGAGTGTCAGGAGACATGTCAGACAATGTTTGGAGCAAGATTGTTTGAAATGGCCAAAAGCTGAAAAAGAATGCCTATCTACCACCAGTAGGTTGGATAAATTGTGGTGTATTCGTTATGCAGAACACTATGCAGCAATGCATATGTAAAGCAGAAGAGAAAGTCACAAAAGAATATGCAGTGTGCCTCAATTTATATGAAGTTTAATTACAAGAAATATTAAACTATATCACTGAGGAATACATACATAGAATGTAAGTTTATAAAGAAAGGCAAGAGAATCCTTGTCACAAAAATCAAGAAAATACTTGTGTCTATGAAGAGAAAGGGAATGGAAAACCAGAAGACATACAGGAAACTTTTAAGATACTGAGGAAGTGGCAACATCTATTTCCTAACCAGAAAGGTGGCTGACGGGTAGTCACACTATCAGCATTATTAATATATATTGTGTGCCTGTTTTATGCACATTCTTACTGTGTATTTCACAGTAGGAAAACATAATCATGGAAAAAGATTTAAGAATATTTCCAAAATCATGTTATAAAATGTGAGATACTTTAGCAGTATAACTTGAACGCTGTCCAAAAGTGCTAACATAATGCTGAGATAAAGAATGTACGTAGCTACAAACCCAATTTGGATCTCTGAACTTTAGAGGGTATGAAGAGTGAAGTATGGCATAACATGCCACCCTAAAATACAACTGTAGGAGTTCAGGACATGCCAGCCCAAAATATGCTGCTTTGGTATATGGATTATTTTGAGCTCTAAGCACTTGGAAAACAGCAAATGCAAGGAGAGGCTTTCTCTGATATCTGCTTATCTGCCTGAAGACAGATGTTCCAAAAGGATCTCACTTATCATAAATCCTTTCCCTGGGAGTTTCATCAACCAGAGAGGATTGACTCTTATTGCCGGAGAGGAGACTAGTGGCCGACACCACATCCAGACATACCTTGTCACAAACTGTCCTATCTCCTATCTATTCTAAGGGTCCAGACCTCTTTTCTAAAAATCACCTCTCTCCTCTAAGAGGCCTACACCTCCCCTCTCCTTTCCCTATTAAGAGGGTAGTTAAGTCTCAATTCTAAGGCACCTCTTTGAGTTACTTATTTTCCCCTGGGTATTGCCCATGTGTACATGAGGCATACATGTTAATAAATTTTCTGTTTGTTTTTCTTTCGTTAATCTGTCATTTATTATAAGGGTCTCAGCTAAGAACTCAGAAGGGTAGAGGGAAAATCATTTTTCTTCCCTACAAGAGACTCTCGGTAAACATGTATAGCTACTAGTCTTAATAACTGGTCTTAATAACAGAAGGTGTGTGCCTACAAGGACACCAACTAGTATGTGTTAGAAAGAAAGGGGCACACCTGGCTCTTCTCTCCTGGTGAAGCAGCGCCGTGCTCTGTCGCCCACTTCCTTCTTTACCCTGTGACATATGGCAGCTGCTGTGGGGCTTGCGCCTGTCATGTTTGTCTTTATACTCAGTGCCTAGCTCACAGCAGGTGCTCGAGAAATATTTGTCCAATAAATGAAAAAATAAATAAACATTTACCCTTAAACTGTGTATCAGTCAGCATGAAGACAGGTTACTGGAAGACTCGTGTGGCTTATTTCAAAAGAAAGTGAAGGGGCTGGTGCTGTGGCTGAGTGGTTAAGCTCGTGTGCTCCATTGGGGCAGCCCATAATTTCACTGGTTCGGATCCTGGGTGTGGATATGGCACTGCTCATCAGGCCATGTTGAGGCAGCATCCCATATGGCACAACCAGGGAGACCTACAGCTAGAATATGCAAGTATGTACTGGGGGGCTTTGGGGAGAAGAAGGAAAAAAGAAAAAAAAAGAAGACTGGCAATAGATGTTAGCTCAGGTGCCAATCTTTAAAAAAAATAAATAAAAACAAAAGGAGATGAAAAGAACTTTTCAGTGGGGATCCAGCATGTTGAAAAGAAAAGAATGTGATGAGTCTAAAGATTAGTTGGCCCTCCAAGTAAAATAATCCTACAGTGAAACTCAGTTTTTCTTTCCACCTTCCCATGCTCCAAACCCACCCCCTGCACCACCTTAAGGTAAGGCAGATTCCTCTCTTGCCTGCCCTTCTAATACCCTCCACACTGCTCTGCACTTGCATCCACTCCAACCTCCACTAAAGTACTGAGGTCCCGTCTCCAGAGTGAATCTTTTGACACATGAAACCTAAATTAGATCATGTTCCTCCTCTGAGTGAATCAAATCCAAAATCCTGATCCACAGCTGCAGGATCCTATAAGCAGGGGTCCCTGGCTACTTTTCTTACTTAGTTCCTGGTAGGCTTTCAGTTTGCGCAGCATCGGCTGCTCCGCTCCCTTTTCTCCAGTCACACGGGCTGCCCCTTTGTTCCTGGAACGCACAAAGCTTTTCTCACCTTGAGCTGTTCTCTTGCAGTTCCTCCGGCCTGGAGCATCCTTGGCCTGGCTCCCTCTCAAACTTCAGATACTAAGTACAATGCCAGCTCCTCCAAGAGGCCTTTCCTGGCTTTCCTATCTAAAATCGTCCACTCCCCAGGTGCCAGCTATGACATCACCCAGTTTTTATTTCGTTCACAGCCCTGTTCACCATCTAAAATTACAATCTCTATGCATCTGCATGTTTTCTGTCTCCTGTCATGAGAACATAAGTTCCCTTTGAGTAGGCCCCATTCTAGTTTGTCACTGTTAACACCAGTGCCTAGCACAGTACCTGACACACAGTGCATGCTCAGGACATCTGAGTGTGCTGAGTAAAGGTAGAGGAAATATCCTGAGAGGAGACCCAACTCTTTTTCCTCTTCCCTACATGGTTGTGATGAGATTGTGACCGAGTATCTGACCAAGAATATCAGTGTAGCATACATAGCAGTTAAGAACAAAACCCTTAGCTTTGGAGAAATGTAAGTTTTAAATCCTTAATATTAGTCTGAGTAAACCACAATCTGTAAACAAATGGATGATTACCAGCTAAGCAGATGTTTAGTAAAAAGAGCACAGCCTTCTGTCAGAAACTGTGGCTTTCAGTCCTAAGCAGCTAGGTGACCTTAGACAAGTCATTTAATCTCTCTCTACAGCTCTTGTACAGGTTCTGAAGTCCTCAGCTCTTTGAGTCTACAATTTCAGACAGAACATTCATTTTAGTTTTTTGTTTTTGTTTTTGTGAGGAAGGTTAGCGCTGAGCTAACATCTGCTGCCAATCCTCCTCTTTTTGCTGAGGAAGACTGGCCCTGAGCTAGCATCTGTGCCCATCTTCCTCTACTTTATATGTGGGACTCCTACCACAGCATGGTGTGCCAAGAGGCACCTTCTCCTCACCCGGGATCCGAACCGGTGAACCCCCTGCGGCCAAAGCAGGATGTGCGAACTTAACCGCTGCACCACCGGGCGGGCCGTCATTTTAGTTTTAATACGTTAGCATTCTTATTTATAAATTATCTGGAAAGCGAGCTAAATTGAGCCCCTTCCCTCAAGAGCCTGCTTGTACAGGAAGTAAAACAAGAGAGATTCTGAAGCTGAAAAGCCTGGCATTCATTCTGGGCCTTATAGGGCCGTCACGAGGGACAGTCAGCTCGTGAGGCTCTTCCTGGAATAAAATGCTGGTGTCTCTCTCTCTCCTAGCCATCGGCCATCATCTCTGTGTATCAGAAGATAACCTGTAACTCTTTCATGGAGCTGAGGGTCCTGCTGCTTCCATCTGCTCTCTGCAGGCAACAGCTCTTTACACGCACCTGCTCAGACGATCTCTCATAATGACACAGATCAATTTTCAAAACATTTTGTCACCTGTTTAATTTTCCCCAAATTATTATCATAAAAAATATTCAAACAAATTAAAAAGATAAAACATATGTTGGTCAATCATCCTTATAACTGCCACCATATTCAATAACTGAGCGTAATGTACCTTTATTGTGTATATGTCTCCATGTATATACATTCTTTTGAAATGACCCCTTGAAAGTAAATTTTTTGATTCAGTTTTTTGAACCATTTGAAAGTAAACTGCAGATATCATGAGATTTACCCCTAAATGTTTCAGTATCTAACTCATAAGAATAAGGGAATTCTCCACATTATCTCAACATTATCAAACCTAAAAAAAAAAATTCATAAAATGATCTACTGTCCAGTCCACATTCAAGTTTCTTCACTTGTCTCTAAAATGCCTTTTATAACTTTATTTTTAGAGCCAAGACTCAATTAATACATTGTGTTTAGTTGTTACATTGCTTTAGTCTCTTAATGTTGAACAGTCTCCCAACTTTTCTTTTATGACGAGTTTTTAAAGAAACCGAACAAACTCATCCCACATTCTGAATTCTGATTTCTTTTTCTCCTTCTGATGGTGTTTAGCTCGTTTGTCTCCTGTACTCTGTTACACCTTTGTCAAAGGTGACGATCTATACAGTCCACAAGGGGAGGCACATAATTCGGGATTGGTTACTTCTAATGTTGCTGACTTCACTCACTTGGTTAACGTGAGGGGCCATCGCTCTACCGTGGATCCGTCTTTCCCTTTGCAAATAGCAATGCGTGGGGATACTTGGCACCATGTGAATATACTGTTCCCCAACTTTTTTCCTAAAGATTTTGGCATTAGTGGATAACCCTTGCTTGAATCAATTATTTCATTGGTTTGCAGAATGATTTTCTAATGTTTTGATTGTCTCATCAAAAGTAGGTTTTAACACAGAATGAAATCTGTGTGCAACAAATGCATTCAGAATGGCATACACTAAGGTTTATGCTAATTAGTGTTTATTCTAGTTATCCAATAGGTTTGATTAGGCAGTATATAATATGCAGGGGGTGCCCACCCTAACACCATCCCCAAAACAAACTAGAAAATATTCATCCTATATAATCTCACTCTTAGTAAAAAAATTTAGTACACCACCTTGAAAAGGGCAATCTGTGACGCTGAGGCAGCCCGCAAAATTCCAGACCCCAAACTCTTGATTCTTTACTTACCAGCTGCGTGGCAATGCTTAACCAGTATGCTTCTGTTCGTCTTGAAAGTGTTAGATGCTACATTGGTAAACAGCTTAAACAAACACCTGTAGGACTGTAACGTTTTAGTGACTTGACCCAACTACATATGAGCAATTATTTTGTGCCACCAAGCCACCCGCCGAGCAGCACCCAAGAGCAAGTGTCAGCTCTTCCGTAGAAAATGTAGGTGGCCCTGAAAAGGGCCTTTAGCGTTGCTGTTGGAAACAGCTTGCCAACTTAAGCTTAGCCTCCGAAGCCATAGAGAGTGCGCCCCTGGCGCTTGAGCGCGTAGACCACGTCCATGGCGGTGACCGTCTTGCGCTTGGCGTGCTCGGTGTAGGTGACCGCGTCTCGAATCACGTTCTCCAGGAAAACCTTGAGCACCCCGCGGGTCTCCTCGTAGATGAGACCAGAAATTCGCTTAACGCCGCCGCGGCGGGCCAGACGCCGGATGGCGGGCTTGGTGATGCCCTGGATGTTGTCGCGGAGGACTTTGCGGTGGCGCTTGGCGCCCCCTTTTCCGAGGCCCTTTCCGCCTTTACCACGACCTGACATGGTGAGAACACGTGACTGCTACAACTGGACGACTTAAGCGCCAGCTCCCTGCAGCCTCTTATGTAACAATTGTGCGGACCTTTTTGAAAACTGAAAGACCAGAAAAGGCGGCAAACTTCCCTGAGTCCCCGCCCCTTGCTTCTAAGGCCTAAAGTAAACACTCAGCAGGGAGATATACTGCTATTTAGAAAGTAAGAAACTCTAAACGGAAGTGTCGAACATGCACACAAAAGGAATTACCTCATTTATGTATGTGTATGTGAGTTTAAAGATGTATCCATTCCACATATATTCTTGGATCACTTGCCACACTGGCATTGAAACAAAGGAATTTGTAAATATTGCCAAGCAACCTGATATAAATGACAAGCCATAGGATATATTGGAGTATATGAGGAAGCCATTTGGTTTAAAACTAATTTGGCCTAATCTTGTTTTTCCAAAAGGGGCTGACGTGGCCTGTTGAACATGCACTGTATGTCTGCCTTAAATATTTACAATGTCCCAAAGACAAGAATGTGCCCCTAAAGATTGGGATATAACTCCCCCCCCCCCCCCATATTGTCATTTCTTTAATAATAAGCACCTCTTCCTGGGAACTAAGGATTAATTACTGACCTGCTGTACTCACCTTGTGACCACTGACCTGCTGACCTCCGATCTGTTTCCCATGACTATTGTAAAAGAGACATTCCTGTCATATGTGATGTATGCTCTTTATTCTAAGATGGTATATAACCACTCTGTACACCCCATTTCTTTGGTGCCCTTCCATAGAAATGGGGCTAATCCACAGATCTGGCTCATAATAAACTCACCCCAGTTTTGATTTATAGATTGATTATAGATTATTCGTATCGACAAACCCAACAAACAGTAACCTTGTAAATTGAGATTACAAATTTTGAAACTCAATTTACTTTTGAAGTACTTTTGAGGTAGGGGCAGCAATATCTACAAAATCATGTACCAGCATAAATGAACCAAACCTCAGACCAACGGATGTGTCACCACTACAACAGCCAGAAGAAAGTGAAAAACTGCTGTTTATATGAAAAAAGTCACCTTCATTTGTTAAGCAAGCCTTGGAATCCCAAGCATACAAAGTAGCAACTGTTGTAGAATTGTCAACAGCTTTTTGTTACCTTGTTATTTTGAAATAGAATTCCCTTGAACTCAGTTTCCCCTAATGGTGACATCCTATATAACTGTATTATAATATCAAAACCAGGCAATTGACATTGGCAAATTACTGTTAACTTGACTACAGGCCTTATCCAGGTCTCACCAGTTTTTACATGCACTCAATTGCATGTCTGTGTGTATGTGTGTGAGGATACTCTTATGCAATTTTGTCCCATTATAAATTTATGTAACCACATATGCCAACACAAAACTGTTCCATCATCACCGAGGAACTCCTTCTGTCACCCCTTTATAGTGTTGGGGCTCACAGCAAGCCGCCCCAAAATATCCCACAATGCCATATTGATTATTTTAAATTAAAATTACTTGAGAAGCAGCTGATGCAAAAAGAGCACTTTGAACCTCTCTGCTCCCCTGAAAGCAGGAAATAAATCTGCTGTGTGAAAGATTCCCTCCCTGCAGCTGGAGGTGGAGGCATCCTTATGGCCAGTGATGGGGAATTCAGGCCCAGAAGCCTATATAAACAATCCTTGTTACTTTACAAATTAAGCACTAATGAGTGAAGTGCTTAATTAGTGAACAAACCTTGTTACTTCTTTACTAATTAAGCCTAAATTTCTCTGTCTTGTCAATTCCTCACAAATTTGTTTCTTTGTCTAAAATGTATAAAAGCTGCTTGCTTTGGTCATTTTTTCAGGTCCCCTTTCTATAAGACCTCCATGCGCATGAATTAGACTTATTTCCCCTGTTAATCTGTTTTGGGTCAATTTAATTATTAGATCAGCCAGAAGAACCTAGACGGGTGGGGGGAAATTTCCCCTGGCCCAACAATAGTCACATCCACTTCTGTCCTGCGGCAATCACTAATCTATTCTCCATCTCTAGTTTTCTCACTTTGAGAATGTTATATAAATAGAATAATACAATATGGAACCATTTGAGACTGGCTTTTTTTCACTAAGCATTATGCCTTTGAGATCCATCCAGGTTGTTGCATGTATCAATAGCCCGCCCTTTTATTGCTGAGTAAGATTCAATTGTATGGATATATGAGAATTCATTCAGCTATTCCTCAGGTGAAAGACATTAAGTTGTTTTCACTTTAGGCCTGTTACTAATAAAGCTGCTACAAACTTTCATGTACAGGGTTTTTGTTTTGTTTCTCCTCCACCCAACCCTCCAGATTCTGAGTATTTTGTTTTGTATTTACTGCATTCCACCTTAAAATTACATTGCTTTTAAGATGCAGAAGTGCTGCTATGATGACTAGGAACCTAACAAGCTTTTCAAGGTCACATAGAAATCACATTGTCTTGCTAGAGTCATTTGCAACTTTGCTTCAAGGTTCAAAAACATTGCACTGAGCTGTTTCAGTTGTTTCCGCAATCTGACTTCTGGGTTCTATAGTTAAGTATTTACTCCAGAGTCTGCAATGTTTGTTGAAAAAACTGCTAGTATCCAGGTTCTGTGGTTCCTGCCAAGGGACTTGTGTTTTCACTCTGTGCAGTTAATCACTTAGTTCCTGAAGGTTCTCCAGGGTTTACGGGTCCCCCCAGGCTAGGACTAAACCCTAGGATAAGGCCAGGGCTCCCATTGCTAATGTCTGTAAAACCTGACTGAATCCACAAAGTCCTTCATTGCTCTAGGGTTTGTCATAGGATTCTATGTTTGTTGGAGGAAAGTTGAGAGCTGTTGTGTCAATAGCTCTTGGGGATTTCCAGCAAAGGGGATTATTCAGCATCAAATCTGTGCAAGGTCCGAATTCTGCCTCTGTGACTACATCATATTTCTCGTGCAAGATGCAGACACATTCTGCACAATCTGTTTTCAGTTACTTGCTGCAACAAGCTCCGAATTCTTCATGTGCTGCATTTACTTAGCTACTACCGCAGGCCCTATGTTCGGTGCAGTAGTGCCCTGCCCAGCTGTATCACTGACAGCACTGCCACCCACTCTGCTGGAAGAAGTTGAACTCCAGCATGTTTTGGGTAACCTTGGAACCCATGTTTTGGGTAACCATTTCTATTCTGTGTACAGAAAGGTTGACCACCTACACTTAAGGGTGTGTTATTGCTCAGTAAAGAAGCAAATGGATTACCACTCTGATGCAGCACTCAGCACGGGGTCTGGAACATCAATAAAGCATTGTATTCCCCTAGGATGCTTCCCAGGCTGCTCAAGGTTCCATCTTTTTCACTTCCCACACAATTGCTGGATTCCAGGTAAATTCCAGTGTTTGCCAACTATATTTGGATTAACATAATTTCTGATTAGCTATTGTATTTGCGAATAGATCCCAGTTTCAGCTAAGCTTCTCACAGCATGCTGTGTATGATTTTCCCTTATCGAGGGCCATCATTTCAGGATTGGACATATAAATTGCCTTATGATTTTGAGTTGAATGTATTCAAAACCAAGCTATTCAAAACAAGGAAGCCCTCTGCAAGAACACCTAAACCTTCACCTAGAACTTGAAGGTGTCTAGGAAGGAAGCTTGTCGCAAGCTAACTAAGGCAGTTGTCTGGGAACCGATCGACATTAGCCCATAGCTAAAGATGAAAGCACGGAAAGCCAAGCGATACCATAAATGGCTTTGCCACTGAACCCAGGGGACGATGTTAATGAGAGGGACACGCCCAGCAGGTAGAAAAAAAAAAAAAAAGCTAAGCTTGGTGTGTAGTTGGGTAGAGAGGAGAGCAGCGCTCAGCAGTCGGCTAGCGCCACTAAGCAGCCGAAGCAAGGGCTGCTGCCCTTCTACCTGTCCTATGCTTTGTTTCGGAGGCAGATTTCGCTCCTTGTCTACAGCATCTCAAATTGAAATTGTAGGTGGCTCTGAAAAGAGCCTTTGGGTTTGAAGTTAGGGCTCACTCATAAAGACACTTATGCCCTCTCCCCACGAATACGGCGCGCGAGCTGGATGTCCTTGGGCATGATGGTGACGCGCTTGGCGTGGATGGCGCACAGGTTGGTGTCCTCGAAGAGCCCCACCAGGTAGGCCTCGCACGCCTCCTGCAGCGCCATCACGGCCGAGCTCTGGAAGCGCAGGTCGGTCTTGAAGTCCTGCGCGATCTCGCGCACCAGGCGCTGGAAGGGCAGCTTGCGGATCAGCAGCTCGGTGGACTTCTGGTAGCGGCGGATCTCGCGCAGGGCCACCGTGCCGGGCCGGTAGCGGTGGGGCTTCTTCACGCCGCCCGTGGCCGGCGCGCTCTTGCGAGCAGCTTTGGTGGCCAGCTGTTTACGCGGCGCCTTGCCGCCGGTGGATTTGCGAGCTGTCTGCTTGGTACGAGCCATGGTAAGGAACTGCAAACACAGTTTACAACTGGAAGCGCCGCCGTTCTTGCTCTTATTTATAAAGGCAAAATCCTCCTGATTGGTCCGAATCTTCAAATTCCGCGCCGTGAATTAAGTAACCTGATAGGCCTTGTGATTGGCTACCAGGTCTCACTGTAGAAAATCCTGACCTATTGGAACGTATTCTATTATCTCTCTCATTTATGATTTTCAGTCCTTTATTAAGGCTCTTTTATCTTTTACATGTTCCTTAGTTGGTTTTGTTTTAATTCCCTTATTTGGGATTAAGTTTGGGAAAAGGCAGAAATGAACGTCCCACAGTTCCTGAGCCGTATCAAAAACTGCAAGTTTCAACGTGACAGATCCAGTCCAGTTCGTCCTTTTATCAAAGCTTCTGACTTTGAAGAAATGCTTATTTTAGCAACGCAAGCACGCTATTCCATAATTAGGAACCCTCCAACAAACAGTGGCATCACTTCGAGACATTCTGTTCCCAGTGAACACAAAAATTGCAACGCTGTTGAAATGTGACGATTCTTTGATCTTGAAAACGAATGTTGACAACTTTGATCACACCAAACTGGGAATGTCAATGTCGTAATTTTGAGAACATTTCAGTATTTAGCTAATTTCTACGTTCTCTTTCCTAGAGTTAACCTGGCAACAGCAATTTTGCAGGAAACTAGCTATACATTTACATCAAGCTTTTGCCTCCTTAGGTCCGGTTCTAGGGAGACACAAGGCTCATAAATAGATACCTTTGTTAAAGCTTAATCTTTTTTGCACTGTTTTGAAAACGAAAGCTATTTTTTTTCTTAGGAAAGAAAACAACATAGGTTGTTTCCACATAAACAGCCAATCAAAACGTAGATTTGAATTCACCTTATTTGCATAAAAAGTTTCCACTGGCTGATTTGATCCAATCAGGAACTGAGATAGATTAAGTGTCTATTTGCATAGAAGACCTACAAAAATAGGCGAGCCGGGTAGTAGATGCTTTTCCCTCTGAGTTTCAGATCGAGGCTTTCTCATCATGCCTGAGCTAGGTAAGTCAGCGCCTGCCCCGAAGAAGGGTTCAAAAAAAGCAGTCACCAAGGCACAAAAGAAGGATGGTAAGAAGCGCAAGCGTAGCCGCAAAGAGAGTTACTCCGTGTACGTGTACAAGGTGCTGAAGCAGGTCCACCCCGACACCGGCATCTCGTCCAAGGCCATGGGCATCATGAACTCGTTCGTCAACGACATCTTCGAGCGCATCGCGGGCGAGGCGTCGCGCCTGGCGCATTACAACAAGCGCTCGACCATCACCTCCAGGGAGATCCAGACGGCCGTGCGCCTGCTGCTGCCTGGGGAGCTGGCCAAGCACGCCGTGTCGGAGGGCACCAAGGCCGTCACCAAGTATACCAGCTCCAAGTAAACCTAGTTACAACCACCGTGAAACCCAAAGGCTCTTTTCAGAGCCACTTACTCTCTCATATAAAGAGCTTTAATACTGAATCTTATTGGCAGTCTGCAGGAAAGCTTTTTTATAGTTAGAAACGGTCTTTACTCAGGTTATTTCTATTTTTGCCTTTCAAGTCTCTCTCCTATCTGGCAGAGGTTACTTAAGCAGAGCATACACAGCCTTGCTTGAAAAGAAAATTCTGGTTGCTTAAGAATTTTAGAAGACAGAATTAGCTTGCCAGCGCTTTCACCAGAGTCTAGACCAGAGCTTAGAGCTGATAGATTTCAGTCGCTGGGACAAATTGAGTATACACTAGGCATCTTTTTGAGTCTTCATGTGAGTCATTGTTGAGTGGAAGACAATAGTATACCCGATAGCATGAAAAACCAGTTTTCTACTACATGGAAAAGATTGGGAAGGAGAGTATGAAACAAAAGGATGCCTATGGAAGAATAACTGAAACTTAGTTGTTTTGCAAGTAACTGAGGCGTTTTAGACTTTGAGAAAAAGATTGAATAGGATTTACAAAAGAAAAGGGAGAGAAGAAGCCTCGAAGAGCCTGGGAGTAAGGCCTCTTTATTTTGAGATGATGTTTTTCGCTGGCAGCCAGCAAGGAAGCCAGGCTTGGACAGTCTTCAGTTGAAAAGACTGATAAGAATCATCTACAGAATACAATTAAAACTATAGATTTTCAAGATACCTTGAGATTAATGAGCATATTTAACAGGTTACCTGTAATGTTGGACTCTAATCCTCCCCAACACGCATTTTTCTGTTGGATCAGGGAGTTGGGGCAGGGTTGTGCAGAGTAGTCTAAGATCATCAATCTTAGTGTGCCTAAAATTCCTCCCTAAGTGAAGTGTTGAAAGACTAGGACTCTGAGTTTCCTCATTCATTTATTGAGAGTCTATCAAGTTTCAGAAAGTGACAAGTACTAGGGAAAGAACAGCGAGCCAGACGGAAACAATCCCTGTCCCCTCAGGGCTCCTGATCTAAAATGGATAAATGGTTATGGAACTAACAGAAGTGGGAAGCATCAGCCTAAAGATCATTTTAGCATTGCCAAAAGCTGAATTGACTTAACGATTTCACTAAACCAAGTTTAATTAATTGTAAGCTTGAATTTACAAGTTCCCTTGAGGCAATTCTGAAAGGAAAGTTGAGTAAGAGAGATGGCAAGAGAGGAGGAGATAGCACAGAGAGGAATCACAAAGACGTGCAGAGTTCCAGTTTGTATTCATGGACTATAGTTAACAACAGGGGCTCTACGGCATATTTATACTTTCATCTGATCATGTTTCATCGTTGGTTCCCAAGGATTTTGTAGATGTCCTAGTGCTGTGCCTTACAAAAATGTAGGATCTCACGGAAATGTAGCAAGGAATACTATACAGTCAGGCATCACTTAAAGATGGGAATACCTTCTGAGAAATGTGTCATTAGGTGATTTTGTCTTTGTGCAAACATCATAGAGTGTACTTACACAAATCCAGATGATATAACCTACCACACACCTAGGCTATATGGTAGAGCCTATTGCTTCTAGGCTACAAGCCTTTACAGAATGTTACTGTACTGAATACTGTAGGCAATTGTAACACAGCGGTAGGTATTTGTGTATCTAAACATATCAAAGCATAGAGAAGATACTGTAAAAATATGGTATAAAAAATAAAAAATGGTGCACTTGTATAGAGCACTTACCATAAATGGAGCTTGCAGCACTGGAGGTCGCTCTGGGTGAGTCAGTGAGTGAGTGGTGAGTGGATGTGAAGGCCTAGGACATTACTGTGTGCTACTCTAGACCTTATAAACACTGTACACTTAGGCTGCACTAAATTTATAAAAAAATATTTTTCTTTCTTCAATAATAAATAAACTTTAGCTTACCGTAACTTTTTTACTTTATAAGCTTTTTTTTTAACTTTTTGACTCTTTTGTAATAACACAGCTTAAAACACAAGCATATTGTATAGCTGTACAAAAATATTTTCTTTATATCCTTGTTCTATAAGCGTTTTACTATTCTTAATTTTTTTGACTTTTTAAACTTTTTTGTTAAAATCAAGGACACAAATAAACACATAAACCCAGGCCTACACAGAAACAGGATCATCAGTATCACTGTCTTCCACCTCCACATCTTGTCCCAACAGGTCTTTAGGGGCAGTAACACGCATGGAGTTGTCATTTGCTATGATAACGATGCCTTCTGGACTATCTCCTGAAGGACTTTCTTGAGACTGTTATTGAGGAGGTTCACTCCTTTCAGAAATATGTCCATGGTGGTTTGCTTGGTTTGTTTCTTTGTTTCATCATAGATTCGCTTATAAGCAGATAATGCACCATGAACATTCCTCTCTATTAATGAAAACCTTTCGGTGTTAGGGTCCATGCTTGCAAAATTTTTAAGAAGCTTGTTGAGGTCTGCAAAAGCTTCTGCTAAATCCTTCACTGTGAATTTTCTTGGAGATTCTTCTGCCCAGTTTCTTACTCTCTTGACTCCTCTTCAGTTATGAATTTCTGTTCCAGTCCCTACAACTTATTAGTCACTTGCTCAGGAACCACCTCTAGGAGCTCCTCAATGTCATCCTCATCCACACTCAGGTTAATGTTGGTTGTCATCTCAACCACAGCCTTGTTGATTTTTGCAACCTCCTCATCCTTGGCAAATCCTTTAAAGTCATGGATGAAACTCTCGAGAGTCTTCTTCCAGATGCCATTCATACACTCCTTGGTGACATCATCTCAAACCCAAGCAAGGCTCTTGATGCAGTCATCGATGTTGTAATTATTCCAGAATTGCATCAGTGTCTTCTCAGGGTCTTCCTCAGGTGCACCAATAGCCTGGGCAGAGGTCTTCCTCACGTAGTAGGCCTTAAAAACTGCTGTAACTTCTTGATTCATTGGTTGGATCAAAGAGGTGTTGTTTGGAGGGAGAAACACCGCTTTGATATTGGAATGAAGATCACCAATGAAAGGAGGATGTCCAGGTGCATTATGAATAATAAGCAAAATCTTGAAAGTTATGTTATTTTCCAAACAGGACTTCTCCATTTTGCTGGCATAGCAATTCAGGAGGGCATCTTGGGAGAGAACTGGGTCATCCATGACTTCTTATTGCTCCTGTGGTATACTGGTACTGTATGCTTATTGATTTGCTTGAAGGCCCTGGGGTTTTCACTGTGCCAGATCACAAAAGGTTTCAATCCGTAGTCTGCAACATTGCCCCCAAGCAAGACTGTTATCCTGTCCTTAAAATCTTTGAAAGCTGGCATTGATTTGGCCTCCTTATAAATGAAAGTCCTTTCAGGCATCCGTTTCCAAAACAGGGAGGTTTCACCCATGTTGAATATTTGCTCTGGCAAGTAATCTGCCTCCACAATCAGCTTAGTTAGAGTTTCCAAAATTCTTCAAATGCCTTCACATCAGCACTCACAGACTCACTACTCACTTTCACATTATGTAATAAATAACAATTCTTGAATCGTTTAAACTACCCGGAGCTAGCAGTAAATTCAACATCGTAGTTGGGTCTGGCCTTTTCTTCCAACAGAGCAAACTTTTCACTTTGACTGTGATCACTATGGTGCTGAAAGGGATATGCTTCATGTCTTCAATCCAGATCTTAAGAAGTTTCTCCATGTCTGATATAGACCCTACTCAAATTTTTGTTAGTCCCGTTGCCTTCAATGAAGCCAATTCTTTAACAGCTTCCTTCACTTTGTTCTTGTTCTTCAAGACCATAGCTATGGTAGAGTGGGACATGCCTGACTGGCGAGCAATAACCGCCACTGATTTTCCACCTTCGTAGTCCTTAATCACTTTCAGTTTTGTTTCCAGATAAATCACTTGACAGGGACTGTTACTGGCAACATTAGCAATGGATTTTTTACACTTAGGGGCCATGAAGAGCAAAACAACACAAGATTAAACACAAGAGAAAATGATTCAATCAACAGATGTGGTAAACACGAGCTGTATGAGGCTGCTACTGGTGTAACATGGCATATTGTTTTACAGTAAACTTTTTTTATAAGTACAAAGAGTACGCTCTAACGATAAAAAAAGTATAGTATAGTAAATATAGAAACCAGTAATGTGGTCATTTATTATCATTATCAAGTAATATGTACTGTACATAATTGTATGTGCTATACTTTTATACAACTAGCAGTGCAGTCGGTTTGTTTACACCAGCATCACCATAAACAAGTGAGTAATGTGTTGCACTATTATGTTATGCCAGCTATGATGTCACTAGGTAATAGGAACTTTTCAGCTCCATTATAATCTTTTGGGACCACCATAAAATACTCAGAGCGTCTTTGACGGAAGCATCGTTATGCAGCACATGACTGTGATAGCAAATCTTATCCATTATTACTCTTAAGAAAATTTTTAATAAGGTTTTTTTTTTTAATTGCACCTGTATTAGTATTTTTTTAATTGCACCTGGAAGTGACAGACAACCTGAAACAGTCACTGGTTAAATGAAATAAAAGTCTATTTCTCTCTCATGTAAAGTTATGTAGCTCAGACCTGGAATGGGAGCTCCACTCTCCTTCAGGGCCTCATCTCCTTCAATGTGTAATGTGTGTTTGCTCTATTATTCAAAAATATTCTACTATTGATTTCTACTATGGAGGACCAACCCCAAAACAACAAATTGGAAGGATGAAACTCATAAGAAGTAAGTAAATAATTCATAAGTAAGAAACTTATAGGAAGTATTAGGTAGGTAAGCAAGGAGTTTATGAGATGTAGACAAATTCAAAAACTGTATTCACTGTGAATCATAAGTTAGTAGCTCATGAGACATGTTAGACATAGAGAAAATAAGTACAGCTTGTTTGTGCTACCTGCAGATAGGAACAAATGAAAGAACCAAGAAGAACTAAATATTTGTGAGACACCAAATATGAATGGGGTACTCAGTATTTATGAGGTCTTAAATTAACCATCCATTAGTGAC